TCATGGACCGACACATACTCTGGGTCCTTCAGGCTCAGTCTGGCCAGATCTTTGACAGACCTGGTCTGAGTGGCAGAGAAGAGAAGGGTCTGTCGTGTTTTCGGGAGGTTTTCAACAATGGCATTGAGTGTGTCAGCGAAACCCATGTCTAGAATCCTGTCGGCTTCATCGAGCACTGCCGTGGAAGAGGAAGCATGTCATGTTATTGAAAATAATGGGATGAAAATGACACCTGCACACATATACTAGTGTTGGGCGATATGCTCCATTTTCATATCGTCCTATCGTCAGCTTGTGAGATCGGCGATACACGATATTATCGTGAGGGGCCGGGGCTAACTTATTTGATTATTAACTTGATTATTTAGCCTACTAATTAATTTGCTTGTTTTATTAGCCTACTTCGTTTTATAGCTTCGTATTGCTAGCAAAGGTGGAGTGTTTATTAATAGGATCAGGTTATTTCCTGGCATAGTGAAGTAAAAAAAGAGATCCTAATCCTTTTGTTTGTCAACGGGAAATTTACGGACACTATTAGCCTATTCTCATGCCATTACATGCAGCATTTTGGTCTATTTCTGCACTGAGATGAAAACACGTTTTAATAATTTCTTTTGTCAGAAAGAGTCGGAGTTTGCGATATGTGCCCCCCTACAGTGCGCTCTCTGCGCACTTCACATGCGCACTTCAGTAAGCACGAAGTACGCGGGTTAATGTGTTTTAAATGCCGATATAAACAAGAGCAAGGGCCAAACGTCTAGCTGAGTCAATCGGTTTATACTACTTATGACTTGACTCTGATAAAGGAAACGTTTACATGACCACATGCATTGTCAAGTTTATTCAACATAATCAAGTTAAGAACGTCGTCGCATGTAAACGCGCTCTGTCTCTGAAAGTGAAAGTAAAAACGGACTGCTTTCGGCATCTGCACTAACGCCGCGTTCACTCAGAGAGGACGATGATAACGGTAACTATAATACTATTTTAGTGATATTATTATTAATACTATTTAGTAATTGTATTGTTTTTAGTGTTAGTGTCATTAAACGTTTTGTTAATGTGTTGCAGAAACAAATACTGACGAACAACGATGCCGTTTTCATCTTGGATCTGTAGGAAATTGAATTTTGCGTCTGTTAAAACAAGCACACTTGATAATTTGTGAATGGATCACCTTGCGATTGAATTTTGATGTGGGATGTTTTTTAGTCTGTTTTAAAAACATTCTCTAAGAGGAGTCCTCATTAGTGCGTGTGTTGTTGCAATTGTTATGAGGTGATGTCGTTGTAAATTTAGGCAAGGCAAATTAATTGTAGTTCCTAATATTCATTTAATAACAATACTAGCTTTATAATAATAATAATAATAGGCCTAATAATAATAATTTAATACATTATGGTAAAACAAGCCAATTATCGTATTGATATCGTCAAAGGCATCTGCCATCGGCGATATGTCAGACTATCGTCGATACACGATACTATCGTCTATCGGCACAACCCTAACATATACACCACAGTTGAAACGTTTGGGGTCAGGATGCAAGGAATTGATTGGAAGTGACAGCAAAGACTTTTACATTGATATATAAAATTTCTATTTCAAATAACGCTGTTCTTGTGAACTATGTTTTAGTCAAAGATCATGGAAAAATGCAGTTTCCACAAAAATAGTTCCAAACTGTTTTCAACATTAACATGAAATGTTTCTAGAGCACAAAATCAGCCTATTAGAATGATTTCTGAAGCACAATCACGTGAGCATTTTTTAAATAAATGCAGTTGCTGAGTATAAGCCTTTCAAATATTATCAACACCGAATATTTGAACAGAAGTGTATTCACAGCACTTTCTAAACATCATCTTACCAAGCATGAGTAGATTTGAAGCATGAAAGGTGGACGTCTCGTCCATGTGCTGCAGCAGACGTCCTGGGGTGCAGATAATTATATTTGTGCGATGGATCTTCTCTGATTCACCTTTCAGATCCTGCAGTCATTGACAAATAATAATCAATTATTACACAATAAAAAAAAAAAGACATGCAAGAGGCACGCAAAACACTAAAAAACTAGCGAGGCACACCTTTCCACCAATTATAAGGCCGGCAGAAAATTCATGGTTCTTGCCGATCTTCCTCAACACCTCAAAGGTCTGATAGGCCAGCTCTCGGGTGGGAGAGATGATGAGAGCGCCGAGGCCGTCATCCGCTGTCCACTGTTCACGATACAAGCACTCCAAAACCTGTGGAGACAGTGTTATAGAGGCTTTCGAATTAGGTTTGAATTCTGAGTAACACTGCAGAATTAAAAGTCTTTTACTCATCCTCATGGTTCTCTAAAATGTTGATTATAAATATATGTTTAATATTAGATAATAAATATTACACTACCAGTCAAAGGTTTGGAATAATTATGTTTTTTTTTTATGTTTATGAAAGAACTCTCTTATACCCAACCAAGTCCACATTATTGGATGAAAAATTCAGTACAAATACACTAATACTGCCAAAAAAATTATTACAACCGCAATATATTTTAAAATGTAATTTATTCCTGTGGTACAAAGTTGAATTTTCAGCATCACTACTCCAGTCTTTAGTTTCACATGATCCTTCAAAAATCATTCTTAAATGCAGATTTGCTGCTCAAGAAACCTACCTTTTTTTATATTTTATACTTTTTTAAATACCTTTTTTATATATATTTTTAACATTTGCAATCGCGTCCATATTAACACACCTATCTAATTTCTTAGAAAGTATACTGGGTTGCGCTATTCAACAGTACGTGTACTACTACTTACCTAAGAAAATACTGGGTAACATAAGGTACTTCATGGGTTAAGGTTAGGTTTATGCACAGGTTCAGGGTTAGTACCAAGTTAATAATCGATTTTTGTAATTACTATAATAAGTACATAGCATGTACATGGGGAACATGACTCTAAAGTAAAGAGCTACCGAATAATGTTACCAAGTTAAAACTACAACAAACCTCAGAGGTGTATTATTGCTTACCGGGATGAGGAAGGCCAAAGTCTTTCCAGAGCCGGTCTTTGCAGCACCAAGAACATCTTTACCTCGCAAAGCAAAGCCAATGGTCTGCCTCTGAATCTCAGTGGGCTGCCTGTACTGAGCCACAAGAAGACCTAATGACATGATCAAGATCATTATTATTATTATTAAAGTCAAGACGACATAAGTGAACATATAATCATGCAAATAAACAAGATTGCTCACCTTTCAGAGTCTTTTTTGAGAGTGGAAAATCAGAGAACTTAACAGCCTCTTTGGAGTTGATCTAGGAAAACAGTTACTCATGTCAAAACCTTCACAAGAAAATCAAGTGGCATGTTTTAAAATGGATTGGGTGTATTAGGACCTCAGAAAATATCAAACTGATGTAAGATGCAGACCACTAAAACACATCTGAACACTTAAGTTAACATGCTTAATCCAATCAATCCAAATTCTTGATATATAAACATTTCTATCAGTTATGTACGTGGCCTGTTCTGTCCCAGAACTCAAGAACCAGTGACCACTGAAAATGTGAATTTGATGTGATGTTTATGTGAAGACCTGAGCTGAAAGGCTGCCTGACTAGATACAACTATCAGCAACACTTAAGCATGACTAGTAAGATTTGAGCTTGTTAACATTCCTTTTAAGTGTCAACTGTTTACACTGTGCCTGATCTATCTGTCAAGCCAGATGTCACAACGTGTAAATAAACACGTGACAACCGCTAGAAACGAGCAATAGACGCCAGAAATGCTTCATAATATCAGCAGATTCAAATATCTTACCTCCGAGTATTTCTTCACCAGTCTCTGTATGTTTTCTCTCTCCACCTCCCAGTCGCGTTTCTTCCTATTGGTCTGTTGAGCTCGTTTGACTCTGGTTTTCGTTTTATCGTACTTCTTTTTCCATTTCTCAAAATTCTTTACAGGGTCATCGGTTACCTTTATCTTCTCTTTTTTATTTTTCTCCCTCATATTCACTCTATTTCGTAGATTAGGTCGTGTGTGACCAACGTAACAACACGTGAATGTTTACTTCGTGAGATGTTTGGCTTGCAGTGAGTGTTGCTGATTAAGTGAATCAGCGCCATCTAACGACCCGGGGCGGTGGGACACTTATTGATCAAACAGCTCGCGCTAGCATTTCAAATAATTAATATTTTACACATTCCATTCTATTTTAATCTGTTATACATTTGATAAATCTGCTTATAATCTACGCGAAGAGATAATGGGATGGAAGAATATACGTTTTTGTTTACCGTACGTCATGGGTATATTGGTCTACTGTAGGCCTCAGAAACAGTTGCTTTGTGGTTATTTTATATTCAGTAAAATGATAATTTACTCACCCCCATGTCATCCAAGATGTCCATGCCTTTCTTTCTTCAGTCGAAAGTAAATTAAGGTTTTTGATGAAAACATTCCAGGATTTTCTCCATATAATGCACTTTACTGGTAACCAAACGGTTCAAGGTCCAAATGAGAGTTTCAGTACAGCTTCAAAGGGCTTTAAACGATTCCAGACGATGAATAAGGGTCTTATATAGGACTCTTCGAGTCATGACTCGAAAAAAGATTTGTTAATTTTGATGAACGAGTTTGAACAGGAGAGTCACGAACGCGCATCACAGAACAGAGCAAGTAAAAACTTTTTTATTTATTTTTTAAATGAGCGATCGTTTCGCTAGATAAGACCCTTATTCATCATCTGGTGTCATTTAAAGCCCTTTGAAGCTGCACTGAAACTACTCTCATTTGGACCTTGAACCGTTTGGTTCCCATTGAAGTCCATTATATGGAGAAAATTCTAGAATGTTTTCATCAAAAACCTGAATTTCTTTTCGACAGAAGAAAGAAAGACAAGGACATTGTGGATGACATGGGGGTGAGTAAATTAACAGCAAAAGTTTTTTTGAACTACTCCTTTAACAATAATGTTAATTTAATAAAAAAAAACACATACATCGTGTATACTGCTTCAAACGGTTTATTTGCAAACCAAATAACAATCTTAATCAACCAGAAATGCAAACAGCAGTAATCGAGAGGGTGAAAGCAGAATTTCAGTAAACCATACCGCTGCTTGTATTTTGTATTACCATCCATTGTGAGTGAACAACGCGGTTCTTATTAGCAACAGGCTTCTCTGATTTATATCCTTTTTTGGAAACAAAGGAGACATTTTCATATCTTTAAAATATTATTCAGTATTTATCGGACATCATTTATACAGTGTAAAGGCACTATGCCTAGCTCTGTCTCTCAGATATAAACATATTTACATAAATATAAAACAGAACAAAAATACAAAAGGCAAACCCTGTCACCTCTCTCTCCTAGCAGATTTCAGGCACTTTCCTGTAAACTCAGATCAGTGCAGTTGAACAGCACATCTCGTAGTTTCTAAAATTACATTTAAAGGCCTGCAATAATCAGAAAGCACTTTCTTGCAAATTATATGTACTACATTTATATATGGTGTCAAAATAGTCAACCATACAGTCAAATCTTCAATTCATACTCTCAAAAGACATTCATACAAAAAAGCCTTCATCGCCTGTGTGAATGTTACTAACAGACGGCTTTTTGAAACGACATACTAAATGATATCGTAAGATCATATATTAAACAAGCAAAATGCTTTGGTCCTTGGAATGTGTCTAACGTATGTTTTAGGGAAACTCTTTCTCTAAGATAACAAAACAAAAACAATCTCATAGTGAGGCAACTACAGGCTTTAAACTCTTTTCCACTCTATACTCACACATCATTTTACTGCTATTCTTTCACAACACTTTCACTCAAGTGCTCTTGACAGTAAAGATTCCCTACTTGTCTCTTTCCACAGCAAAATTATTTCAATTTTGGTTAAACGAAATTAACAAAAAAGTACTCTGGCAGAACCTTCTTTAAAATAGGTCGATTGAGAAATCCAGTGTGTCATTACAGTAACAAACAAAAGGCTCATGCTGGAATGGGTGTCTGTTCTATGGCAAGACCTTTAAAACAGATCAAAAATGCTTTTCTCCCATCCTCTGTAAAGTTATATGCATGTATTACTACCGGTATAATGGGACTTTCTCCATCTGGTGATCCTTCAGATGTTCCTCCATGTCCTTTCAGATTCATTCTGCTGTTCAGCTCATGCAGGATTGAGTAAAAAGTGGGTGCATGGGACTTTCTTAGGGCACTGAAGAGAACTCCATTCTCTGTACACTTAAGTTACAAATCAATGTTATTTCATTTTTGGCACTGATGTCTATTTCCTTTGACAGATTCTGGCAGACTCATGTTAAGTCCTGTGGAGGAAAGAAAGAAAGAATGAGCTTAAAATGGTGAGAAACAGATGCGCATGGCAGCTGTGTAGGTGCACACAGTACCCTATTTGCCCATGATCCTCTTCTACCCAGGCCACGATCTTCCCTTCCCAGCCAGGCACCACTGCATCATCCTGGAAAACCTGAGAGAAGCCAATAATCTCCATTACTTCCTCTTTACACAATATAACATTTTAGTTACATTTTTTTAATTTCATTTAAATCAGCGGTTCTCAGCCTTTTTGACTGTGCAGTCAAAACATATTAATATATTTTTAAGTGAAACGGGAACTATAGATATAGATCATTTAAAGGCGCAGTAAGCGATTTCTGAGAAATGCAGAAACGCTTTCAACAGCGTTAAAAACACCTAAACAAACTATTTTGTGAATATTTGTTGATTGATATATTCTGTTGATTGATTATGTGGCATTACCTCTTCCTTCACAGTGCCAAACTCTGGATCCAGTGCTTTAAAATGGTACCGATAATTGCCTTCTCGATCTACGGCATCCTTGAAGTCTCGCAAGGTGACCTCCCCCAGCCTGCCGACATAAGACAAAGGAAAGTTTCATAGCACATACCTAAATAGCATTATAGGGATTTAAGACTAAAGATCCACTCAAGCCAAATATATGTGTAACAAAGAGTCTGACTGACCTCTTGGCGATGTTGATCATGAATGGCGTGAGTGAGCGGTCAGTAAAGTACAGGACTTTGGTGCACGCTGATGAGTTTAGTGCAGGGCTGCTGTGAGAATGAGCAATTTCTGGAAGTGAACAGAGGAGATCCTTCCGTTTAGTAGTGTTTTAAATATGCAGCAATATACTGTAGTACAAAGTACAAATAAGAGGTCATGAATCGAAAAAAATACTAATAATAATTTCCCCAGATTTTTCAGTAGCACCTCATTGCTGTACATGAGATCCAGGGTGTAGAGTTGGATCCAGATCAGGGGGTTGGAGATGGGTAGGATTAGGGGTGGGGTTAGGGATCAGGAGGTGGAGATGAGTAGGATTAGGGGTGGGGTTAGGAATCAGGGGGTGGAGATGGGTATGATTAGGGGTGGTGTTAGGGCTCAGGGGGTGGAGATGGGTATGATTAGGGGTGGGGTTAGGGATCAGGGGGTGAAAATGGGTATGATTAGGGGTGGGTTAGGGATCGGGGGTGGAGATGGGTATGATTAGGGGTGGGGTTAGGGATCAGGAGGTGGAGATGAGTAGGATTAGGGGTGGGGTTAGGGATCAGGGGGTGAAAATGGGTATGATTAGGGGTGGGGTTAGGGATCAGGGGTGGAAATGGGTATGATTAGGGGTGGGGTTAGGGATCGGGGTGGAGATGGGTATGATTAAGGGTGGGGTTAGAGATCAGGGGGTGGAGATGGGTATGATTAGGGGTGGGGTTAGAGATCAGGGGGTGGAGATGGGTATGATTAGGGGTGGGGTTAGGGATCGGGGGTGGAGATGGGTCGGATTAGGGGTGGGGTTAGGGATAAAGGGTGGAGATGGGTAGGATTAGGGATCAGGGGTGGAGATGGGTCGGAATTAGGGGTGGGGATAGGGATCATGGGGTGGAGATGAGTAGGATTAGGGGTGGGGTTAGGGAGGAGTTGGATCTGGATCTAACTCCTCCCCCTGGATTTTGTGTTCTGCAGTGCGTACCATCTCAGATTTTTTGTCATATATGAGGTCATTGTGCTATAAAAACATACTGTAAGTTTCATTACTCCAAATGTCCATGTTAGTATAAAAACAAAGTTTAATTGCCAAGCTGGAAAAGCAACTCGTTTTGTACTTCGCGTTTTTTAATTACATAATAGAGATCAGTTGATCAGCAAAAGACTGCCTCCACTGTCAAATCAGCATTTTCTTCTGCATCATTGCTTCTTTAGTCCCGCTCACTCGCGTTATATAATAATTTCTACAACAGGATCATTGGACTAAAAATAAAATGACCTTTCAAGGGATCCTAATATTAATGTGGCAGTTTATTTTTGAATATTTGTTCTGTACATTTCATGGTGGATTCTTATGCTAAACCCGTCACACTTCAACACAGGCTTTTACAGAAAGATATGGACCCGACAGTAATGCCACAACATGTAAGTAACAGTATTAATTCGAATGTCTAATCTGTAATCACTGACTTTTGATATATAAGGACTCATGAAAAATGGCTTATTGGCTGTTTATAAGCCAGTGACTAAACGGTCAAATTCACATTGTTCCTCTTAGTCCTGTTATTCCCTGTTTTGGGATTTGGATCTATTCTTACTTGAAGTAGGAGTCCAGGAGTCTCCATCTGAGTGAGATGCTTTATGTCCTGGAGATTTGCCTCGGTTCTACAAAGGAACAGATTGATTTGAGAAGAAAGAATTCTGAGGCAATGTAGGATCGGGTGAAAAACCCGTTGTGTGAGATTGAGTGAACATTCCTCGTACCCTCCTCTCCTGTTTGTGCCTTGTTTCCAGGTCACAGAGGCGATCCATCAGGCTGGCCACACCTTGCTCAAGCGTGTCCAGAGTGTGATGCTGAGGGTCGTGACCTCCAAAGCTGTTCCTCAGACTACGCAGAGCATCTCTTACTAACTGCAGCTCCTCGGCCTACAAGAGACACAGTTACATGGATCTCTATAGATATAATATAATATCACTGAGAAAAGGCTTTAGTCTTATTTACCCCATGGTGTGGTTTTGATGTTGTGACCGGTGGTGGGTGTGAGTAGCCGTTGTTTTGCGAGCCAGGAAGCTGAAACATAAGACAAGCCTTTACTTGAAACTTTAATGATTAAATGGAAGCACTAAACATACTCTGCAATGTGTGAAAACAAACAGCTGTGGGGAAAACAGTCTGTATAAGTGTGTTACCTCTGTCTCATGGCTCATTAACTCTTTGAGAATACTCTCCTTGTGCTCCAGCTCCCTCTGCAGGCAAGCCTGAGAAACAGAGACACACATAATCCACAAAAACAAGTGCAGGAGTCTTCAGCTACATAACAAGGGTTATTAATCATAATTAATCAGTATGGCTCAACAATAAGGATTTTTTTTTTAAATGCTGGCCTGTTTAGGCTGTTACTTGCCCTGGTGACATTTTCACTTTGCAAGAAAGAAAACTTTACATTTTTTCAGCTGCATATTTTTAAGTTTCAAAATCATTATCTTGTGCATGTAACATTCATAGTACTTTTTTAGTAACAAACAATTAAGTTTTAAAATAATTTACTGTACATTTAACCAACACTAACAAATAAAATCACACTAGACTTATGTTCATTACATTATATATTTTGAATTATAATATATTTGACATTAATATTACTTTATGATTGAGACAAATGTAGAAAAAACAGCTAGTTTGAAGCAAAACTTGTATATTGATTTTTTTTTTTAATTAAACATTAATTTGCAATAATAGCTGTACATTTTACTTGACATAAATGCATAAAGTCATAAACAAATTACCTGGTCCTCATACCATCTGTAAGGAGGACTTTATTCACAAAGGAACAACAACTTTGCGCTGTTGCATTGTGTCTCGCACCTTTAAAGTCACATGTTTAAAAAAAAAAAACTTGTCTCAAGGTGTTTTTAGAACTACTGTAAGAACATGTTCTCCATTACACCCCCTCACTCTTTTTGTGTTTGTTTGCTTAACAGAAGCTCTATGCATGTGCAAACTGAATTGACTAGCCCGAACCTTTCTCACACTGGTAATGCACTGTCCTTTTTGTCAAGCCCTGATTTGCTGTGAGAGACAAAGATTTATGATGTTAAATTATAACACTATCCCATCATGCAGTTCTCCTTCACAGTCTGCAGACTCTGTGTCTGATGTCATACCTGCTGGCTGCTGCTGTCTGTCAGCTTGCGCAGTGCCTCGTCCAGCTTCTGCTGTTGCTGCTGCAGAAGTCGATCTTTTTGGCCCAGTTCTTTCTGTGCAGCACAAAGACAATGCGTTTAAATACATTACATATGTGGTTTAATTCAGCTTCTTTTATTGAAGTAGCATCTTTCGATTTGAAGAAAACTACAAGCTACTCATAATGTACAGTCAGTCTACTCTTTTGAAAAAGTAGTTAGCTTACACTAAAAGTTACTAATCAAAAGTAGCAACAAGATTGAGGGGTGAAAAAAAGCAAAAGTTACAGTTTTTGATAATATCTTTAATTACCAGATAAAAACAGAAGATCTAAATTAAGATGCCAAAATGAAACAGATGAATTTACACTATATATCACAAATAAAAATAGAAAACAGTATAATTTATATAAAATCAAACAGTGGAATTAGTAGAATTTGAATATATACACCATACATTATGGTGCATTTTTGTAATAAACATGATTATATGTTTCATATCACAAACAAATAAAAAAGTAAATGCCTTATATTCGCTGAGAAGTCTGCTCCTCTCCTCTAGCTTCCTCTGTAGCTCAGCCTGACAAGATAGACACATGACAACCGGTCTCAGATTATATGTATAATTGAAAATAATCTAATATCCATAGCATAAAGACAGATGCACTCACATTTTGTCCTGCCAGTTCATCTTTGGCCATACTGGTGCGCAGGAGTTCCTGTTTGAGCTGCAGGACTAAGGACTCCTGCCCAGCCATACGCTGCTGAAGAGCATCCTGAATGATGACGCGGGGCAGGGTTAATCAATCTCAACATAACTAACTTGCTCTGCTTTATGCTTTTAAGTGTTAAGGTGTTGATACCGGTGGCAACTTTTTGGCCAATGTTGCAGAGCGATGTTGCTTGTGCACTTTCCCATTGAGAATGGGCAACAACTTTCAATCTGGATACTTAAGGTCAGTCGTGAGCCCTGTGTCTCTCAACTGGTTGTCAGCAACATTGCTCGAAAAGTTGCCCCCGGTATCATGACCTTGAGGGTATTATTTATATTAATAGGTTTGGAGATGAGTAAGACTCACTTTCACTCCTTGCAGGTTGCGAGCCTCCTGTTTGAACCTCAATAGCTCCCTCTGCATGTATAAAAAAAAAACTCACATCATAGACTAGTTTTAAAAATATCAGGAATGGACAAGATCAGCCCATCAATAACTAACTGAAGACCAAAACAAAAAATAGCACAGTGATTATGAAATGATCTGTACTACATACAGTACAGTAATCAAAGAAATTGAAATCATATTCAAAATATGCTAAAACAGTTTCCAGCATAACGATTCAGGGGGGAAAAATATCAACTAAATAAATCAACTAAAAAGAAATAATTATTTCATAATATTAATAAAAGCTATTATGATTATTATAATTACTAAATAAACAAATAAATTAACAAACAAACTATATATATATAATGTTAATAATTGCATTAGTCTGCTATCAATGGCTCAAGTCTCCGTTACTATCTCTAAAATGACATTTTGTAATGTAAGGACAAAAACCTGACAAAAGTCTTGAAGTCTATATTTATATATAAATACAGATGTTGTATGTCAAGACATTTGTCAAGTTTTTGTCCTTAAAATGCTCTTGTATGTAGGACTAGTTTCTTATGCCTCTTATCTCAAACATCCGTTGCCAATTACAAATCGTCATTTTAGAGCTAGTGACGGAGACTAGAGCCATTGATAGCAGACTAATTCAGTTATTAAAGAAAGTGAGTGAGATTGTGTGTGTGTATATATATATATATATAAATGATATAATAATATGAATAATGCCCACCTTTAGATCTTGACTCTCCTCCATGCTCTGGTCTAGACGACTTCGTATTACAACCTGTAGCACAACAACAGAGGGATTTTGCAGCTTCAGAACAAAACCACATATATTACTACATATTACACTAAACACAGAAGGAACTGGTTCACACGACAACCTTATAGAAAACAGTTCAAGAACTGGAAGAGAGAAACAGACATCGTAGGAGAGAAACGGATACCTGCGTCTCTCCCACAAACAAAGCAAAGTTCACCGTGAGAGTAATATGATCTGCCCTGACAGAGCTTAGAGAAAGAGCAGGAGAGAATGAGAGAGATGGGGGGAGGGAGAGGCATAGCAAGTCACATATTATCAAGAGGGAGGGATATGTACGATATGGAAGAGAAAGAGGCCAATTTGGGGTAAAACACAATTGTGACAGAAATAAAAGATACGTACCAGTTGCTGCTCTGCATTTTCAACTCCCTCACCCAGACTAAGCGTCACCTCCTGCTCATCCTCAGGTAATGAACCGTGCAGAAGGAGAGCCTAAAAAAACACCTGTTATAAGCTGCAAGCTCTATAAAAGCATTACAAAATTAACTAAATTAGGTGATAATATATGTTATTGTCACCTGTAGGCTGGAGACCATTTTCCGTGCCTCCTTCATCTCCTTCTCCAGCTGTTCCTGTTGCTCACACAGTTTGTCCTCCCAGGTGCAGTCACCAGCTTGACCATCATGCCCCGAGACAATGGCCTGGTCACACAGGGCCAATTTCACTGTGTCCTCTAATGGTAAACAGGGATAGACTGTTATACATGCACGAGACCATAAATGTCCATATGATTGATTGAAATATATCAATACCTGATTTAATAGTTTTCTCCCTGGACAAGGTGTCTAACAGCCCTGCCTTCACATCTGATAGGCTGATGGATTCTTTGGGACTGTGGGTGGGGCTCTGTGAACTGAGGCTGTGGAAATAAACAAAAAAAAAATGCAGTTTCTGACAAAGTCAGTCAAAGTCAGATTTTGTCTAACACATTCCTTTTTATCATACTTTTGTATTTCTAAATTGCAGAATCACCATTGAGTTGTTCCAAGAGTGAGTTACAATATCGCAAAGACTTGTAATTTATGTTTATCAGGTGCTGCATCTGGTGTCTCAGAAAGGCAGATACAAATAAACAGTCCTGAAGCAAAGGAAGAAAGTGCCTTTTTAAAGTCAGTTGCCATGGAGACCCCTTGCATATATGAACAGCCAAGTCTGTCAGCATCTGAACTTCTGTTTGATCTGATGCCCTATCAATAATGCACCGTTAATACATTTCAAAGCCACAGGCTTATGAGCCAATGTCTGGCATGCTTTAAAATTATAACACCTTCAGTTTGAATTATGCTATAGAGCGCTTCTTTATCAGCTCAAAGACATTGTTATAAAAAAAATCCATATGAATTGAGTGGTTTAACCTTAATAAACACAATACTTCGCAAGCACTTTTAGAAACCCACCACTTTCCCCAGCTCCACCTGCATAGATCTGCAATGGGTAATTCATGTACGCTATATTAAACAGCAGCAGCGTAACTTTCTTGTTCACAGCAGCATATCATGTATATGTATTGTCAATAACAGCAGCAGTGTAGCAGATCTATTCCGCCAAGATCAAACATATCAACATTGTCATATCCATTACCATGCAAAACACTCTGAGAGTTGTCACGACAGAACTATGATGCTATATAATTAGGGTTGGGTATCGTTTAAATTTGAACAATTCCGATTCCGCTTATTGATTCCTAATTTCGATTCCAATAAGGTAAAAACAACAACTTAGATTTCATTCACATTTATTCTATTGCAAAACATTTGATTGTGGCTGAATACCATGAACAAAAATCAACGGGCTAAAGAACACCAATTTATACCTCCAATTTATACCAATTTATGTTTAGTGCCAACAACCTCACTCTTTCTCTGTCTGCTGTCTTCATGCATGCCAAGTTGAATTCTCTCTACATCAATTCCCCTCTAAGCAGTCACAAAAATGAAAGAAGAGTCCCACACCAATTGACACAAATGACCTTCACATTAGACAGAGTGTGAAGACTATGCCGTCATAGTCAATACTAGACTTACATCAGGGAATAAATCCCATCCAAGTCATTGGTTCATTTCGTTTGCAGTGAAACGTAACTGACATTTCACACAGACCAACACACAGAGCAAATGGATCCCGCTTGGGTGACCTTTGGAGAATTCATGTTTATTTTCAGACAGAATAAAGCCTGGGGATCCCCAAGTCAAAATTCAATGTGTGGATAAAAAACAGCCATATCATGAATGGAAATCTCCAAACATTTTTAAGCTCTGCAGTCTGCATATTATTTTACTTATGTGTGATGGATAAAGACAAAGGACCAAGGGTGATCCGTTTTGTCGTCTTAACAAAGCAACAATGCTTCTTCTCGAAAGGAACAGAGCGCTTGTTGTTTTGTTTTTTTTTGTTTAGTGTGTATGTTGTGCTGGCTCTCATTGTCCTGATCCAGGCTACAGACCGCAGAGACCCTGAAAGAGACAGCCCGTCGCACTCCACATTACTCTCTTTGTTTTATTTTTCTCACGTTGTGGGGAGGGGGAAGGAGGGGACCGTTCTCTTTCAAAACCAAATCCAGACCCCCCTTCTGATTGTGACCCACACAGACACTAAAGACACTAACTTATTCAGTTCAGTTTCTCCATAATTTTATTCTCCTTTTGTGCTGTGTTTGCCACAAGAAAAAAACTAATAAAACTAATAGATGGACACAGAGTTAACTGAAACTCATGTGATCCAAACTAGACTGGAAAAATCCCTAAGTATTTTTTAAGGGGTTATTCCTGATCTTTGAATCTCTGTTCTCTAAACTCAAGACTCAAAAAACAATGTGCGCATTGATATGAAACAGTTATTCCAACATAAAACAAAGTTAAATAATGGAGTAGAGGGCTTATTAAAGAGGAAAATGTATATTTTAATACATTTTCTGAAAAAAAAAGCGAGAGCAATTCTAGGGTGGTTGCCAGGGCGTTGTTAGGTAGATGTTAAGATGTATTGTGTGCTTTTTAGTGCATTGCTGTGTGGTTGCTAGGGTTTTCTAAGTACAGGGTTGCCAGGTCTGTGAAAGAAAGTTTATCACAATCAAAAGTAGTAAAGAATTCTCCACTGAATTTGTACATTTGTGGATGTTGTGGGGGTGTTCTACCGAAATCTAACTTACAGGGTTGGAAATCAACCTGTGTAAAAATAATCCCCAAGTTATTACAACATTCGATCCTAAGATTTGACTCGAGTCCTTCCATTGTATACTATTGTTTAAAAGTTTGTGGTCAGTATATATTTTTTTCCAGTATTTTTTTTTCACTGAAAAAAAATATTTTTATTAAGCAAGGATCAAAACTGCGATTTTATTAATCAAATTATCAAAAGCGACAGTAAAACTTTTTAAATTAAAAATTTAAGCAGATAAGGAACTCCCGCACACTATCATTACTTGCACTTTTTAATCAAGTTTATTCACACACAACGTTTCGGTCACACGACCTTCGTCAGGAGTACTCCTGACGAAGGTCGTGTGACCGAAACGTTGTGTGTGAATAAACTTGATTAAAAAGTGCAAGTAATGATAGTGTGCGGGAGTTCCTTATCTGCTTGAATGACTAGCTGGTCTTATTATCTGACGCACCTATCACCTGCAGGTGTGCGATGGAGTTTGGTTACTAAATTAAAAATTTAAAATACATTTTTATATCACACAATTATATAATTAAATAATATATATATATATATATATATATATATATGCAATTATTTTAAGTATTTTTCTTCTTTCAAACCAGTTCTTTCCAACTTTCTACTCAAAGAATCCCACAAAAAATGCATCACGGTTTCCACAAAAATATGACGCGGCAAAAGTGTAACAAGAAATATTCCTTAAGAACTAAATCAGCATATTAGAATTATTTATGAAGGATCATGTGACAATGAATCTAGTCAATGCTATGTGGATGCTAAAAATGCTTTGCCATCACAGGAATAAACTACATTTTTAAATATATAAAAACAGAAATCTCCGATAATTACGATATTTCGCAATATTACTGCTTTTACAGTATCAAATAAATAAAGCCTTGGTTAGTAACATTAACATGAACAAATCTTACTTACACTAAAGTCTTATCGACTAAAGTCATTAGTGTTTTTAAAGATTAATCTTTAGTTAGTAATCTAGATGTAAAAACAGCTGAAATGAGCACGAGAATTACACATTTAGCACAGGGCAACGCAGATAACTTTAAAAATACGGTACTAATTATCTATATCTCGCAAATCTATTGTCACTTACTTCAAATTTATCACAAGTATTACTCCCTAACAGAGCAGATCAGTTTACACATTTAATATTCAGGCTAAATCCTGGTTCAAATGTATGAGTAATAGTAAAAATGATGCTTAGCAAGCACCACTAACAAGACAATGATGTCAAAAAACTTAGATTCAGCGTATGGTTTAACAGGCAGCACAGAGGACATGAAATATAACACATTCAGCATTGCACAACCAAGCATTTCTAATGGCCTTGAAGTGTACAACATCAGCAATTGCTGTAGCTGAAACATCCTTTATTCATAGCAAAGATGGATGGAAAACGACAGCTAGGGAATGACTGACTGATTCCACTGGAGAGGAATCAAAGCGAACCCACAAAGGCAAAGCGATCTTCTAGTTATAAATAAAGATCCGCTATAGCTGTTTTCTCTGGATGAAACACAAGCCTGCGCTGAGATTCTTTCTATGCAAAGTGTTCTCACCATCCTATTTGAAATGGAAAACAAAAAGAAACAAACAAAATGTGCTCCATTTTTCATAAGCTACTGCCGCATTCACTGACTGGGTTTTATATAACCGCAGATTGAATGCAATGAGAACATACAGAACTGTTGCTTCATGGTGAAGCCTGCCCCTTGCTTCACAGTAATCTTTCTAACAGAGCTCGCTGTGATCCTCCCCAAACATCTTCTACTCTGATAAATACTAGATCTCATCTCGCATATCAAAGCGCAAAAATGACCAACAATGCCAATAAACATGTCCTGCTTCTCACACGAGATTAGTCGGTCATGAGACGATTCTCATGAGAGCTCATTAGAAGTCATTTGGAAGAATTGCAGGAAGTTCATTAAAGTATGCTTACGTTCCAGGGAACAAGAAAAAAGGCCAACGTCAACATAACGGAAATTCTCTGCTGCCAGGGTGAGAGTTCGGGAATTATTTCACTTCTGAAATAGAAATCTGAGCAGACATATCCGGCATTTTTTGCAATGTTGTCAGGAAAACAAACTGCTTTAGAACAAAACAAGATAGAGATATTCTTCCAATATTTCCTGTCAAATGCAAAGTGTCGGATTTAGTTCATATTGTGTTGTATGCATATGACAGATGACACAGGCACAAAATTGGATCTTAAAGCACAGCACAGGTGGCACTGACATAGAGAATTGATCCAAAATCTTTGTGTGTGATCTTTACTAGAAAGGTAAACTGGGTCAGACACTCTAAAGCAGTGACATTCAGTGTCATTCACAACCACACATGATAATAAAATGCAAGTCCATTAGGGTTGGGTATCGAGAATCGTGTATCGATTGGAACCGACACTAACTTTTCGTTTTTCCCGGAATCGTTCAAAAGTAAAAATTTCGATTCCTAGTTTCGATATTCACAGTCCGCTGAGCGGAAGAAGAAACCGCTGAACAACACCAACGAAGAAGCGTCTACCGGAAGTGTTGGCATGCGAGTCGAACATGAGTACCTTACGTCTGCGATCCAAAGTGTGGCTTCACTTTTCTAAAAATAACGAAATCTTGGCAAAATGCAAAATTTGTGACAAAAGGAGTATTTTTACAGAAGGAGTATTTCCTTCAGAAAGGATTATTTCCTTCAGAAAGGCCGTTGGTTAGCAAGGTTAGCTAAACTTTTTTGACCCTGCCTCTTAAAAGAATCGTAATCGAGAATCGTTAGGAACTGGAATCGAAACAAGGAATCGGAATCGGAATCAGAATCGTTCAAATTCAAACGATACCCAACCCTAAAGTCCATTCACTGACGACCACTAAATCGCTGAAGGTTGGCAAGCCACTGTATGTATCTGCGAATCATTGTGTTTGTCAAGAATTTGCATAAAACCCTTCTCAATGTTATTACATCGACAATGCTTTATGTAGCGTACAGTATGTCGCCTCAGTCTGCCAACTCTCCTTCAAATAAATGACTTTTTTTTGCTTATGATAGCCGTCAATGTGAGAAGCATTAAAAGGTTTTATGACCGCATCAGAAAAAGTGAATTGGTGAGTAAAATCTATGTGAATCAAACTAAACTATACTAGTGCTAAAAACACTTGCAAGTGAGGAATAGCTGACACAAAAATAAAAATGATCATCATGTACTCACAATATGTTGTTCCAAACATTTATGACTGTATTCTGCTGTGGAAAAGAAAGTTTGACACTGACACCACTGCCAATTCTCAAAATGTCATCATGTTCCACAGTTGAAAAAGTCATACTGTTTTGAAACAACATCAGTGTTGAGTAAATGACAGAATTGATATTTTTAGGTAAAACTTTCCATTTAAAACGTCAAGAGTCTTACCATTTGAATTGCTTGGCTCCCATTTTGGCACTAGAGTTTCTAGCCTTCTGCACTACGTTTAATTATCAATAGAGCATCAAAAAGTTTAGGAATCACCATCATTCTTACAGACAACTTCTTTTGGATGTCCTGTCTACAGCGTTACCACTCGTTTGCTAACTAGCTCCTCTTTATCACCACGCTTGGAACTGACAGCAGATCCAATCCGCAAGTTCAAAGCCTCTTCAGATGCACTTGTTGTCCATATGGAAATCTTGTTTTCAATCCGTCTGCAGTGACAGGAGAGAGCGACACTGCTCTGTCACCAAGGCAGCTGCATCCTGCCCCCTCCTCTCCTTCTCTCTCCGGCTGTGAGTCGGGCTAATTATTCCTCTTCTCAGTTCAACCTTTTCACTAAGTAAAGCTCTCCATCGCTGAGATCTGCACGTCCCTGTCTAGTTCTTGTGCTGCCTTCCTCACTAGCTCCTCTTTTTCTGTGCGAAGATGTCAGACTCGGTCCGGCCTTCCTATGTTTACCCTCCCCCTCCAGCCCTCCCTCTATTTTGTCTTCCTTTTCTCTGCCCTGCCTCTCTCCCCGTCTGTTAAAATCAGTATTTTGATGGAGGGCAGCTGGTACATGGACTGTCTGGGTAATGTAGATGGGCACAGATCTGCTCTGGACAGTTTTTCTAATTTAACATGACATTCAGCAGGTGTGTATATACATATATACTGTATATATATATATACTGTATGTACTGTATGTATATATATGTACTGTATGTATATATATATACTGTATGTATATATATATATATATATATATATATATATATATATATATATATATATACACACACATACATATATGTATACATACATATGAAGAGTTCAGATGCAAAAGCCTCTAAATGCCATTTGAAATTTTCTTCTTTAATGATGCTTTTTATCAAACTTGTATATTTAAGTTCAGTAATTTCACTTAAATAACAATTAATAGGTAATTATCATTGCAATTTAAGTAAAATCACTGAACTTAAATATACAAGCTCGATAAAAATGATCATTCTCGGAGAAAATTTCAAATGGCACTTAGAGGCTTTTGCATCTGAACTCTTTATATATATATTATATATATATATATATATATATATATATATCAGGCTTTATATACAGTATATCAAGGGACAATACTATAGAGATGAAACTTGAATAGATTTAGAGTAGTCAATGTGCTACTTGTATAGTCCTCTGAAAAAAACTCAACATACCAAAGTGAGTACACCCTAAGTGATAATAGCTGTATGTAGTTTAACCATGCAAAGCCACATGTCCTATTCATCATGTTCATGTTTTTGTCTGCTTGACAGGACTATACAATTTTTTGTATAAGAGCAGTTAAAATTTGTGCTTTGAGTGCAATCCTCATGGCAAAGAACTCTCTAAGAATTTGAGAATTAGAATGTCTCTCTCCACAAAGATGGCCTAGGTTATAAGACAATTGGCAACACCCTGAAACTGAGTTACAGTACAGGCCTGCATTACGTCTTTGCCCATATCAGCTAATACCATTTGCACATAAACATTTTTATGCAATGTTTTACTTAAACTTCACACAGAATTTGAAAGCAAATAGTGTATTATCCATTGACTGGGCTGCTGGTATAATAACTGATTCAAAAGAGAGCAGACACAGTTGACCAAATCTTGGCTAATTTATCAGCCTTGCTGATGTATCCGTCTGTCACACTCAAAACATTTTCACAGTACTATTTAGTAAAGAGTATACTGAACAGAATGGGATTGGGACATGGTAAAATCCCAACCTGTCACTCACATGACTCAAAGTTGAAAATACTGTTCTGTACAAATGGATTTCATAAGTATCAAAAATACCAATGCCATAAGAAAGAGGGAATAAGCTGATTGAATAGCTACAGTAAACGCCCATATATATGGGGCAATTAAGTTTATAAAAGCATTTAAGTTTATGCATGAATGGCTCTTATAATAACTAACCATCAACTAGCCTACAGGGCAGTGAGCAATTCAGATCTGTCAAGGTTTAACTTCAGCACAAGTCACTGACCTAGACAACATCCTAGAATAGTGTCTTACATAACACTCATGTTATGTGAATTCATTTAAGGGGTCATGAACTGCATTTTTATTATTATTTTATAATGTTTTCTAAGGTTCACTTAGTATAAATTTTACATTAAAAAAATCACTTAATTTAGAAATAAAAGGCCAATTTTCGACCTTGATTTTAGCCATCTGATTTGAACGCTCTGTTTAAAGTGGCTTGTCTGTGTAAGTGCCCACTGATGTGATTGGCTAACATCTTTGCATATTATAGAACACTTATTACGTGTTGAACTCTCTCAGACTTTTGCTACGTTTTTACAATTACAGCTGCTGAGATTAACTAATTTGTGAAAAGTGTTGATCATAGCATTATATTTAGATTTACTCCCGTCACATGACAGGTTGCAGTGATGAGCATGTAGCCGATCACAGATGAATGCAGTGATCTAATCATTGCAACTCGATTTCTCCACTTCCACGAATGCCTTAATCAAAACTAACATTGCAAACACGATGTAAACAAGAGAATATATTTTATAATACAATGACCTCTTATATGTCAAAAGTTCAAGGAAAATTTGATTTCTCGATTCATGACCCCTTTAAAGATGCCCCAAAATGCATAACGACTAAGCGTACAAATGATGTTCTTTTGGATAATCAGGTTCTGAATCAGCTCCTTCAGCTAAAAGACCCACATAAAAGAACAGTCACACATTTTATGGTTTTCAGGGGCAAATCACGATGATGCCTTAGAGAAAGCCAGCGGGCAGCAACATCTCAGGCTTTACAAAACAAGCAGTGAGAAAATCCTTGTGACAGCCTCCTCCAGCCGGTCTATGTGTTCTCCTCTCATAAAAGAAGAGAGAATAAAGAGAAGGGGTTGTGATAACATGTTTTTGTGCATTTGGTAACTAAGAGATATGTTGAAAACTGATAACACTGAAGCAAATGATTCTCAGCTGAATGTATTCTCAATTTACAAGCGTATACTCTACCTACATCAGCACCTTATTTTCTATTTATCCGCATATTTTTGGTTCAAATATAGATTTTGATTAAATGCTTTGAATGGAACTTAAATATATAAATCTAATATGTAAATGTTCCAATACCCATTTCCAGCTTTGACCTCACCTTTATTAGACTTATTTACTTTTTTAACTTTTATTTTTTTTTTATCCATTCTATATGTTCAAACTAGCGATAGTTCACTTTGAAATTAATTTTTGATATGTTTAAGCTTACCTCAAGGGCATCCAAGATTTAGGTGTCTTTGTTTCCACAATATTTTCAATTTTGATATTTTTAGGTCAAACTGTTCTTGTCATATAATGGAGGTCTATGGTCACCACCTCAAAGAGCATGCACAGAGAAGTCCAAGTTAACCATGATTTAATGACTCGTAAATGTAAGTACACATTGATGGCCTAACACACGAAACGAGCGGTTTGTGTGAGAAAACGAACAGTATTCATATCGTTTTTACCTCTTGTAATCACAGTCACGTCCAAGTGATCTGAAGGCAAGCATGCGCCGGAAGTGAAAAGTAATATACAGACTGGGTGCATTTTAATTAACCATCGATATTCAGAATTTACCCAGTGGATCTAGCTTCTGTCTCCTCTTCAAATGACCCCTTCTGTGACTCATATTGCTGGACCAATGCTCGGACGCTCCAGCAAGGGTTCTCACTGTCCTCTTCACTACAGCAGCCACGACTAAGAGCAACAACAACAACAAAAAAGAGAGATTAAAAACTGTAAAATGCTGTTTCAATGATGGATGATTTTTTTTATTTGTAAGCTAAACGGATTGACAACACTCTCTCAAATATTTTTCATAATTCTGGCATGTTTCAGGCTTATGTAAACCAGTTTCAAAGCTTCAACAAAGCATATTAGAGACCGTTGCTAGAGTTGACAGCAAAGCATAAGTTGAGGATGAAACTGCAAATCTTATTTTCCTTATGCTGCCTCTGAACTGAGCGGCAATACCCTCAGACATCAGCAAGAGGGCATCTGTTCATTTGTTAAAGAAACAGTTCACTCTAAAATGAAGTTCTTTTTATCATCATTTACCATTGATATGACTTCATTTCTTCTTAGAAACGCAAAAGTAGACATTTTAAACAGTCCCAATTGGTCTTTTCCATGCATTTACAATGAGGACTGAAGCTTTCAAGCTTCAAAAATGCTGCAAAAATCCAAAATGTAAGAAATTTTCACTGATAACATTTCACCGACTCTCGTGTACATCAAGGTTTTCTGTGCAAAATGACATCAATATCATAAAGTTGACAATACGAGGGTGAGTAAATGATGACAGAATGTTATTTTGGGTGAACTATTGTTTTAAGCAAAGCAAATTAATCTTCTTAAAATGAAAAGGAGAGCATGTCCAAACTTCCGCTTAATACTATAAAGAACAGTTGCTCTACGACAGCAATTCTACTTGAATGAATACAAGTTTACAAAGCTCTTTTGAAGAAGGATAAGGAGAGAAAAGGGATAATATGTACCTCCATTCTTGTCTCAGATGGAAGACGGAGCGGCCAGGGCGTGCGGCATCCTGCCTGGCTGCTGCCAGTGCTGCTGCTGCATTCTGGGCCATGGCCATGGTGGAATGAGGTCTGTGATTGGCCGAGGAGCCAGTGGAACTCCTGCCTACACTAGCTCCAGCTCTGTGACTGGCTGATGCGGAGGGTTTAAAATGTGCAGCCAGAGCGAGGATGAGCCTCATGGCGGATTTCAGGTTCCCCTCCACAATGTCTTTGAGGACAGAGAGAAAGAAATAAGTAGGTCTATCGGCTTAAGTGTGATTAAGAGCCTGCTCTGTAACTCACCCCTGGCAGATGTCTGTGGCATCCTGATCCGTTTGGATGACACAAACTGCAGAACCTTCTCCACATTCTGCTTCTTCTCCTGATCGTCCCGTGGCACATAATGAATGCCATCCAGCAGCTCACCGGCTTGCCAAATAAATAAAACACATCTCATTACCAAGTTGTGCATTAAATTAGAGTGTTGTTGCAATAACTGTGGAATTATTACCCACTTACCCACTATCTCAATGAGGTGTGCTAGGACCACACCATCTCTGAGATCCTGTCGTAAATCACTCACAGGTTTCAGTCCGGGCTTCTTCCTCAGCTGTGCATTAACCCAAGACACATAGGCAGCCAGTTGCTGCTAAAAAGACAAACATGTCATACATGTGAATGCAAACTTTATAGTCTATAGTCTTATGCCACCCCCCAATAAAAGCCACCACTTTGATGTAATATTGTTCTAATAATGACTATTAATGATATGCTGTTAAACTGCACCCCAGAAAGACATTTATTAATAGTGCTGACGATTCTGGTGGAGAGGTTGCACAGGATGTTGATACCCACTAGGATACCCGTTGTCAAAAGAAATGTACGCCTCAGTGCTCAAGAAGCGCCAACTGTGACAAGCCAAGTCCCTCCCTATTCACCCCGGACCGGTCAGCATCACCCGAGTTCAACGGCATGGATTAGTCTGACTTGCACTTTCTCTGCCTGGTCACAAAAGGAGAGCTTAACTCCCCACGCTCACGCTTCCTCTTCAGCAAATACATGTAGGAACACATAAAGACTGCAGTGAGGTTTGCCGCAGGTCTACCCTCTGGAAAATGTGCTGCGTACTGAACAGAATATGATTTTTTTTGTACAGTGCAGAATAATGTGGGGTGGCTGGCTGCAGGAAAATACAGCAGGTGGAAAAAGCAGTTTCTTATGCGAGCTAAAATAAGCCAAACAATAACTTAATGACACAAACAAACCATAAAGATATCATAAAAGTCATCCATATGACTTATATTTTAAGTTTTATAAAGCCATACAATGGCTTTGTAGGAGAAACAGCAAAATTTGCATGCTATTCACTGATAATATCCCCCACAATTGAGCTGTTTTCCTCTCTTGAGAGCTTCTATTGAAAGAGGTCTATTGAAATGTCTTCATAATGTCTCTTTCTGTGTTAAAACGAAAAAAGAAAACAATTTGCAGAGTAAATGAAGAAGAAAATGGAAAAGATAAGATTGTGTTTTTTGTTAGATTAGGCTATTTTTTTTGTTATTCAGCAAGGATGCATTAAATTGATCAAATGTGACAGTAAAGAGATTATAATGCTACAAAAACATATTTCAAATCAATCCTGTTTTTGAACTTTCTATTCATCAAAGAATCCACACAAAAAAAGCACAGCTGTTTTTATTATTCATTGATAATAATAATAACAAAAAAAATTCTCGAATCATAAAAATGTTTGGCTCGGGTTCGATTTTCTGATTTTTAATTCAGAGCCAACGAATGACGAATATGAAAAAAAAAATACTACTACTTTAAATTGTAATACTATTTATTACTACTGTTTTTACTGTCTTATCAATCAAATAAATGCAGTCTTGGTGAGAATAAGAGACTTCTATTTAAAACTAGAATGTACATTTCCAGAAGAAAATGTGAAGTGGTGCTTGCAGTGGCAAATCTCACCACACGGTTGCTAGGGTGTTCTGGGTGGTTGCTACGGTATTCTGGGTGGTTGCTAGGCGGTTGTTAGGGTATTCTGGGTGGTTGCTATGGTGTTGCTATGCGGTTGCTAGGGTATTCTGGGTGGTTCCTAAGGTGTTCTTTAAAATTAAACAAAAACCTTATGACCCCAAACTTTTGTGTATGACCGAAATCGGACATCCATGATGCCAAATGTCACTGCCTAACAAAATACACGTCTGCTATTATTCTAAAACTGTGGGGAAACTTTTCCTAGGGCCTCAACCTCCCAACCAACATCTAGTAGTTGATGACTCGTGACACGTGCACAGTCAAGAAAACACATGCACAACAAAATGAGCTTCGCATGTTTTTCACAGGCACCCTTCATGCACAGTTAGTGTTTATTGATTTGCCACATGGTGGGCTGACTAACACAATGCAAGCTCTGTCTGAAGCATATCTGTCCAACTTCAATCTAACAGAGGCCCAGAGTGACAGGCTTCTCAGGAACTAACACACAGAGCATTTAACACAGATCCAGTGAGTGTAAGATGCTGACTGTGCTGTAAAACTGGAAGGTAGCAATAGTCTTGTGCAGCCAGCTGTACAAATGAGCTGTCTGTTCCCACAGCGACACCACAGATGGATATATCTCCATCACTGGAACCTGCTGCTGCGCTGTATTCTCACCTTATATTCTAGGTGGAACTGACAGCTGGGATTCATTACAAAAAAAATCAATGATGGTTTGAGAACAGTGCTTGATGGTTTAATGGTTACAGCCGCAGGGCAGACAGATGTAGAAGCACTCAGTCTTAGGTAACATCAGTAGGGAAAGTCTGATGATAGTAGTTGGAAATTGAATAATAAGCTTAACACCTCCTCGCACACGTAACATCATTTATAAGAGCATGATGATATAGTAATCTTTTATTGTGCAAAATGTGTTTAAGTCATAATACATAATTTACTGTTTTAATTTATTGTTATTCACCCTTTCCTGTTCAATGTTCATAATTAAAAAAAAATGACTTTCAAAGCATTATTAATACAATTGTAATTCAAGTATAAATGCATTTTATATATACTGTACCACTGTGGCATTAAACAGTCTTTATAAATGCAATATTAATAGGATTGTGTCTCCCATTGTTTAACAGATGTCAAGATTATCCTTCACTCAGTCTGGAAGTCTTATGGACTGTTAATGATTTTTACTTATAATTTCATTTTATTTTTCAATATACAAGATGTCCTATTTAAAGCATTACTTTCAAAGCATTATTTCTGCGATTGTAGTGTCTTTGTATATCACATAATTGATACATATATTTACAATTGTGAGACACTGAAGGTCCCTATAAATGAAAGATTAATGGGATTGTGTCTCACATTATTTAACAGCTGTCAAGACTATCCTTCTGTCCGTTTAAACATCTTATGGACTGTTACTAGCATTTTACTGCTAAAACACTAATGAAACTATCACTTTGTTGTGTATAACTGTTGTATACATGCTTGTATACATGTTTGTTGTTTTTATTGATCATTTCAAGTTTCAATATTCATAATTTCATATGTAAAACATTTTAAATCATTATTTTTTTTAACTCCAATTCCCATTAAAATGCATTTATAAATAATACATAAATATCTATACATATTATTTATGTTTTGGGTGATTTAAACGGTCTATAAATCCATTGTAGGCTAAATATACAACTTATGCGCAGTGTACACATGACACAAGGCTATTATTACAGCTGTTAACCAATAAACACTGACAGTAAAACTAATTTATACGATAAAGTCTCACAAGCATCAAATACTACATGCAAAAAGCAGCTATCTGTTGTTCCACAGTAATATCTCATAGAAGGCGCAAACAATGCCGTCCCACTCTTCGGAGTTTCACATGTAAAACGCCTTTAAGTTGCGATAGCTAACGTTACTGTGTTTTAACTTTTCACTGAGCTTCGACTTATCAGAACTCAAATGAGCAATTGAAAACAATGCACGTGTAAACGGGCATGAGGGTTAATGAGTTCGGTAGTATCAGTACCTCATTAGGACCCTCCTGCAGCACGTCAAGCAGATTTCCTTTAGACAAGGATGCGATCATTCTTCTGACTTCTCATCAAGGTGAGAGCGAGGGGGAAATGGTAACGTCCTTACTCAGAGAAAACGTTTAGACCGCATATCGGAGGTACTGAGGTAAACAAAGGAACTATAGAAAAAAACTCAACCAAGGCAATGGCCATATGTGCCACCCCGTTTAGTTCGCTAGACCTGAAACAGGATACGAGGTGGACGCGGATGGGGAGAAGTACTGCGCATGCGTCCGCAGCAGCTGCTCCACTGTCGTTATGGCGACGCTTGAGTTTACGTTGGCTGCACTGTCTTCAGCTTATGTGCTGTAAAGTCTGGTCTGGGACAGTGGACTATTCAATATTGTAGCTTTTATAAATAAAATTACTCATTTTAAGTCCACTTAAAACTTGTTGAAAATAAAACACAGCTCTAGTATGGATATCAAAGTCTGTAGTCCCTCCTTTTTTAAACCAACACCACAGCACATATGTAAAAATCATGATGTGAAATCTGAACATTGTAACGTTAAGCAGTTTTACTTCAGCTTCATTGTGTACAGGCCCATTAGACCACATCCTTCCTGCCTGCCTCATGCTTCCTGCTTCTGCCTCTATACGTTTCTCTCTTTCGTTTTTAACAAAATAAAACCCACAACAATTAGATATTTTTTTAATTAATTTTGATTTTTAATTTTAAAAAAAGAAAAAAGAATAGAGCCAGAACTAGGAAGCATGGGGCAGGCATATCACAGTCTATGATATCACAGCAAGCGCATCATCATCATCATATTGTTTTTAATTAAATGTCTCCCCTGACGTCTCCCACTGCTGTAAGAACTGAGAGGGTCAAACTGAAACATGACTCGAAATTGTCAATAAATAATGATAATCTCCATCAATTTGTTAATAGTGGTAAGCCCAAACATTTCATCTTAACAATAAATATTTTGTACACAATTAAATAAATAAGCTCTATTGAGTCTGTGACTTTATTAAAAATGGAATTTATGGAGCTAGGATTGTGTCTTTATTAGATGTGCGAAAATAAATGATCGGAGAGAGAAAAAAAATGTTTGAGAGAAAAAGTTATCACACTGATAGCAAAAAAAAGCATTTCATGAGAGAAAAAAATATTTGAGAGAAAAAGTTATCATACCAATAGCAAAACAATAATAATATTTGAGACTAAAAAAGTTTTGAGAAAGTGTTTTTCTCATAGAGCATAAAAAATATAAATTTGAAATTTTTAAAATTATTTCAGAGAAAAAAAATCTCTCTCAAAATACTTTGAAAAAAATTCAAATTTATTTTTTGTTCTATGAAAAAAACACTTTTTCTCAAAAAATGTTCTCTCATGAAATGCTTTTTTGTTGCTATCAGTGTGATAACTTTTTCTCTCAGATAATTAGCTCCATAGAATTCCTCTTATTTATGCAAACTGTGGTATAATGCAGAAATGTATAGCCTATTTTAATTCATATTTACTGTATTTATCATTAATATTTATAATTTTCTTATACTTATTTACTTAAGAATTAATAATCATTCATATTTTTTCAAAGCATTATTCTGTTCATTTTAATTCCTGCATTAATGTATTTATTTATATTATCAATCCAAAATGCATGTTATACACAGTATATCTTTATCATCATATTTATTTATTTATTTTAAAAAAGTATTAATTACATAATTTGAAATTATTTTATTGATAGTGATAAAAGCAGATCATCTAAAATATTTTGAAGACAGCTTAAATAAATGAACTCTAGTGACTGTGGCTAAGGTTTACATCCTGACTTTTTTTTTTTTTTTTGTGATCATCATCATCATGCTTAACTTACAGGTTTTTTTTTTCCCCACAAATGGTAAATGCAGAATCTTGCTGATCTACATTACAAAGTCGATACACATCTCATCGGTTTTGATTTGTTCACATGAAACCAACCAGTTGATGATTGCCTTCCCTTTTGAGCCTTTACACTTCAAAACAGACCTATTTAGGATCTGACTCCGACTGAATCACATCACAAAAAGAGAATAAATAATCAAACTAAAATGTTGTAAAGAGAAGCGGGTTGGTTAAACAAGTTCTCAGCAGCCACTCAACTTTGAATGTAACGTTACTTAACGTTAGCATCAATAATAACAATCAATCAGAAAGCAATTCCTAAAGTTTGAGCGACCGAACGTTACCTTAGGATTCTCACGTTTTCTTGACGATATCATCAGCAAGTTTGTTGATCCGCATTCAAATGAATATAGTTACATTTATTTTCGGCGGTAAAAGTAAATCACTGCAGCACACTTAGTTTCTATGGTTACTAGAAACATTGGCACTTTCGCGAAACAGCCATTGGTTTGTTCATTGCGAGTTTAGACGACATTAAAAGAGAATGGAAATTCAACAGCGCAAATATTTTCACTCATCCATGTCGTTATGAAAACATAAGTTTACCCATACCCTGTGCTGTATTATTAGTATTATTATTTATTTTAAACCGTATTAGTGGTGTCTGTCTCCCCCTGCCGTAAAGGATGCGAACTGTAAAGTTTTTTTTTTTTTGGGATGTCCAGTCTGAGACACACCTCGCTGCAGCCTGTAGCACGATGACGTAGCTGTCTAGTCTTGCTCCTGAAATGTTTTTAATTTAAAGCTGCAGCCCGCAGTTTTTAATTTAAAGCAGCAGTTATCTTTGTTCAAAATCTACAATTGCAGTCATTCGAGGAATTGTCAACTTTACGTGAGTGTACTACAACTCCTTGACACGACACAGCGGATGAACACAGCGGATGAACACAAAGTTCTACCTGTATGAGGCTGTCAGTCACACACTTTTAGTTTTTGGAAGTATGACCAATTTACGAATTTTCACCGGAAAATGTAATCTGAACTAGTAAGAAACATACCCTTTTGTTCTGGTTCTGACATTGCACAGTAAATCATGCAGATTAAATCTAACAAAATCGTTGAATGCCGAAGTTACGACGTCACTCTGTAGGCCAAAACGCGGAAGTGGGTTAGCACCACCAGTTCCCTCGCTCTAAAGTCTATGGGATTTTTGAACGGGTTTTTGCTAAATTGCCTGAAATAAGGTCTGTGGTGAACAAAGCCTCTAAATATGTTCACGTTTTGATCTATGACATAGAACACAGTTAGGCTATAATCTGCTTGTGGTTTTTTAAACTTTATATAGGCTTCAAAATGTATAAATTGTGGATTAACTTGTAAAGATTATCTTGATAGACAAAACATGTAAGGGTTACAGCTCTTTGTTAAACACAGATCTTATTTTTTGCGATTTTCCAAAAGTCTATGGGGAAAATGCATAGCTTTTCGATCGAGGGAACCCATGCGCCTCCAGCTTCCGAGTTGTCCTACAAAGTGACGTCATCACTTCGGCACTCTATTAAAAACATTTTTACAAGCCTAAGGCTTTGAATTGAAATAAGGCAAGCAGATTGTTTTGAACACTGGCTCGTTATGTATTTTCTCAAATATGTTTCTTTTTGGATCATTTTTACTTGCTTTTAACCCCCAAATAAGCTACGGACTGCAGCTTTAAAAATAAATCCCATATGACAAATGTTCACCTGTTGTACATTTGTTTATTGTTACAAAAAAAAAAAAAAAATTACACAAGAACAACCATACAGTATAGTAACAAAATTTAAAAATATATAACTTTGTCAATAATTATAAACCTTATTGGCTTCCAAAGCAGTGTTTTACAGGATTACAGCATTTAGCACATCAGGCTCACTGCATGTTTAAGACAATATTAGCAATCTGACATGCTAGTTATTGATAAATGTTTACCACATCCGGAACAGCGTTTGAGTTGATTTGGATTATTTCATATAGATCAAACGAAAAAAGTCACAGTCTCAAATAATCTTAAAACAAACAAAACCAAACAATTTACAAAATGATATATGCAAAAGTTAATACATAATCCAGTGTCTCCACTCAACCTGGAAAACTTTATTCAAGCATTTCTAAGCACCTTTCAATAGTATTTCATATCTTTTTCTTTTGCTTAATGCATGCAGAGCTCATTTTTTTCCTCATATGCTTGTTTTTTTCATAATGCTTGTCTAGATACACATCCAATGTTTTACTTGACTTATTATTATTTCTTTTTGCACAATTTCTCAGTGCTGCATTCAATGTAGATACATTTGCAAAGACACTTTAGCTTTCAAATAATGCTATACTTCACATTTTTTTAATGTTACTTTTAAGTTTTAATTGAGATTTAGATCATATTTATTTTCACATTTAAGTAAATATTTCAGACCGCATCACAACCTACTAATATTTCAAGGGATATAACTCCACTTGGCACATACATACACACACGGGCACCTTTGCTATTATATAACAAAAATTACATGTTTTTTAACAAGAGGCGTATACTTAACATGTAAATTACATACTACCCATTTATTTTGATTTATTTATTGTAAAATTAGAGCTGTTGAAGCACACAATGAAAGCTTCAAGTACCAGAGAACTGATCTATGTCTTGAGAGCAGAGCACTCATCACTCACAAAATGTCCTTCCATGTGTCTGTTCATCATCAGTTTTTGTTTTAAATATATAGTGGGAAGGTTATGGAAGTGTAAGGCCATGCTGGGTTTGGATTGACTAGACATTTACACCAACTAGAAAAAACAATGAGTGGGTCATTGAGATCTTTTAGGTTTATCATGTTTGCTAAAAATGAAAATACTAGTGCTGTCAAATCAGTTAATCGCATCTAACATAAAGTTTATAAACGAATAATATATATGTGTGCTTATTTACACATACATACATATATATATATATATATATATATATATATATATATATATATATATATTAGTGCTATCAAATCGATACATCCATGTTGATTGTACTTAAAAACTTAAGGCAGGAACTTTTTTACAGCATATATATATATATATTATACAAACAAAACTTTTATGTTAGATGCGATTAATTGATTTGAAAGCAATAGAAAATACATAAAAAGCCAAAGCTATTAAAATAATGAATTTGTACAGGTTGCATATCCTCTCAAAAGTTTTATATAATAAGTGAAAAAAATCGAAAAGATAGCCGTTTTTAAGCCAGATGTCTCATTTGCGTTTAAGAGATGGGATACATCCTTTAGAAGGATCTCCGTGTCTTCTACATTCAGCTCAGAAAAGCATGGACTCAATGATATGCCACAGTTCTCTCAGCCAATGGGAAAGAAAGATTTCAAACAAAAACATTGCTATATAACCACAATTATGATACATTCATAAACTTGCAATTTTAATCATACTTCACACGAGTAATCAAAACATTGTTCCTCCATAAATCTGAGTATTCAAGTCTGAGTATGAAAGATTTTTTTGAACAAATGAAGTTATAATTAATGTTTTATTTTTATTAGGTTAACACTTTATCATACAACAAAACAATTAAACAATAATGAGCACCTTGTGACCAACACTGACTTGTTAGTATTACTAGAAATGGTGGAGAACTAGCCACCATAAAAAAGAAGAATGTACTGAAGCAAATTTTAAGACAGAAAAGGTCTCTTGGCAGTTTGGACGAAATCTGCCCAAGATATGAAGTCAAGGCCAAAGCATGACACAGGATGGTCTGTGATCTACAAGTGCACAGAGCCTGGAAAATAGCACCTATTCACTAGAAACGGGTACCAGTACTGGTACCATGTGTAAATTGAACTGAACTTAAACTATTGTACAAACTTAAACACCGAAACAACATTAGAATAAGTGCTCCGAATTAAATTTAAACTCAACCATCTTACCCTGTTTTCACATCCCCGAAATTTCCACACATTTAAATACGGTGTTGTTTATACAGATATCAGACACACGTCTTGAGGCTCTTAAGTGAACTCTATGTAGGATGGATATAAAGAAAAAAGACAACTAATTAAAAATAAAAAAAGTGCAGAAGTCAACAAATGTATTAAACACTCCAAAGCCACAATTTAGCACTATTGTACAAATAAGTGCATTTCATCATGTAAACTTGTAAATAAAGCAGCAAAATGGAATATAATCAAAGAAAACATGGACAAAATGTTGCTCAATGTGTGAAAAAGCAACAACCTGTAGTGGGCAGTCTGTCTCTTTGCACCCGAATTTCACGATCTGAAGACGTGCACGGCCCGAACCACGTACTGTCGGCAGATGGGACACTCGTTCATACGTTTCCCGCATTTGCTGCACGTGACCATGTGGCCGCACTCCAGCAGCACGCAGTCAATGGGGGAATCCATGCAGATCTTACACATGTTCTCCTCCTGGCCGCTGGGTTCGGCAGGATCAGCTGGAAGAACGGTGAGAGATTCAATATGTAAAAATAGTATTATCCCACACAAATTCAGGAATGGTATTTTGGATTTAGTATTTTGGGAGTAACTGCCATGGTATCCATAAAACATACCTGCTTCTGTTTTTGTATTTGACACTGAAAGTAAAAAAAAGATGTCAATTTTAGTAGAGTTTGATGAAAAATAAAAAATAGACTATGATGCTTTAAGTTACACTATCCTTCTGAAATCATTCTAATATGCAGATTTGATGCTCAAGAAACATTTCTTATTATTATCATTGTTGAAATTGTGATTGAGCTGCTTCATATTTTTGTGTCACTTTTGATCAATTTAATTCATCCTTGCTGAATAAAAGTAATATCTTTTAAAAAAAAAAATCTTACTGACCCCAAACTTCTGAATGGTAGTGTAACTATATTATAAACTGATGTTTTTTTAGTTGCATTTATTACAAATTTATTCCAATCTTAGTTATGAATTTATTTGTTATTTCATAGAAGAATATTTATGATATATTGAAAAAAAGTTCAAAAGAACAGCATTTATTTAAAATAGAAATCTTTTGTAAACATTATAAATGTCACTTTTGACAAATTTAATGCATCCTTGCTGAATAAAAGTAATATCTTTAAAAAAAAAAAATCTTACTGACCCCAAACTTCTGAATGGTAATGTAGCTATTTTATAAACTGATGTTTTTTTAGTTGCATTTATTACAAATTTATTCCAATCTTAGTTATGAATTTATTTGTTATTTCATAGAAGAATATTTATGATATATTGAAAAAAAAGCGCTAAACATTAACCAATAATATTTTTATAAAACATTTTATTGCATTTTTGAATACCATTATAAATGAAATAAAACAAAACTCTTAATAATCAAAACAATCTGTTGGTTGCCACCACCATTATAGTTTCAGGGCGATCATACAGGAAAACATACCCAGGTTATGAAGGTCTTTCTGATCATTAAAGAGGAGGGTGACCTTCTCCATTAGTTCCCATTTCTCACAGCAGCCCTGATAGTTCACAAAGTTGCGTGCCAGAATCTCTTTCAGTTGCCGCACGCTGAGGCCTTCGATGTCCTCCACCCGGCTCAGGTCAGACAGAGAGGCTCTTCTGCTGTGCACCAGCGTCTCCTCGCTGTCTGTGGACTAAGAACATATTCACACAGCAACAGAATACTGTTGTCAGTCCTTAAAACAGTTATTCACACACAGTTCAGTTACTGTATTTGTGGGAGCGACAACAACCACATTCAATCAATGAACTCAGGACTCGCAACCGCTTTTTTAAGAGAAAAAGTGCTGTGTGAACAGAACCGGACTGGACAACTAGTTGTTTATCACGTCATACAGTGCACTAGGATCTGCACTGAATAAATAAAATAAAATTAAATAAATAAATATTTAAATAAATAAAAATGAAATATAAATTAATAAAAACGAAATTTAAATAAATAAAAATGCTAATAATAAAAAAAACAAATAACTTAAATATAGAAAAACGAAATTTAAATAAAGAAAAACGAAAATGTGATGTGAAGTCCCAGTAAAATCTCAAAGTCTTGCTGTAGATTTATTTAGATTAATAATAACAGGTAAAAAGGATAATACATTTGTTTCTATTATTCTATTTTCCACAATGTCAAAGCAATGCAGCTCAACCCAAAATACAAGCTCATGCACTTCTGTCCATACAAACTCCGCTGCGCTGTACTCCCGTTGCAGGAACACTTTTAGTAGTCCAAGAAGCAAATATATTTATTAAGTAGCTATAATGAAGTTATATGTTAAGTATTATATTCCACCAGATTTTATAGTGTAAAACATATTCAAGCACGAATGAGAACCGTTTCGAGTGGAATGCGGCAAAAAAAATAAAAAAAATAAATAAACCGAATATTCGAATGTCATATTTTTAAATCGAATACCAACCCACCGAACGAATATTCGGGTCCAGTCCTAATTTACAGTGTGTTGCGGGTTGTAATTTTGTTAACGAAAAACACTGTCACTGTATTGCTCCCATCAATTTTGTGTTTTTCACACGACTCAAATGCTCCGCTCTCCACCCAGATCTAAGCTACTGTTGGTTAATGAAGATTTGACGAATGAACACGCGTCTCGGTTGGACTCTTGTCGTGTCAAAAGTGATAAGACAGTTTTATATCACTTTAGTCACTGGTAAGAGTCCAATCGATATCCGAGTCCCGTAGCACATTCATTCGAGACGGTACTGTTTTGAAATAAATGTGGTTGTCAATCCCACAGATAAAACATGATTGCATCACGATGAGAGGCTACTAATACATTGAGAAATGCAGTGATGACATAACGGAAATAGTTGTTCACATACCTCTTCCTCATCATCTTCATCATCTTCCTCACCCTCTTCTCCATCTCCTTCTTCTTCTTCCTCCTCCTCCTCTTCATCCTCCTCCTCCTCCTCCGTGAGGGGTTCAGATTCTGCAAGTGGATGGGAAGGCAGAGGAGGCACAGGCGGCTGTGAGTGGGATTGGGCGCTTCCACTGCCTCTGGGAGTCTGTTGAGCCAGCACCAGCTCCACCAGCTCCTCCTTCTCTCGGCACATCTGCGTGGGGGTTTGGTGCAGGTGGAGATAGTCACGGAGGTCCTTCACCTTCAGCCTCATCAACTCTGCCCGCTCAAAGAAGGTGCAGTGGAGCCGCTGACAGGTGTGGCACAGCCGCGGCCGGAGATCCACCTGCACCGAGCAGCGGCTGCAAAAGTTGTTCTTGCAGTCCACGCAGACATGCTAAGAAATGCAAAACACATAATATGTTATATCTAAACAGATTTAAGCATTTTTGCTGATTTCAATCCAAAGATATCAGTGAGAGCACACAGATTTTTATGCTTTAACGGCAGAATTTGAGTAGACTTAACCTGATTTACCGTTCTTGAGGAGTCAAACTGGCCTCCGCAGGCCTTGCACAAGTGTTCGGGTGGTGCTGGTAGGGGGCTGGTGCCCGAGTTTGTGTAGGCCTGGTGCCACGAGCTGCCGTTTTCTTCCACGGTGGCGGTGATGTCCACACAGAGCAAGCTATAACATGAGTTCTGCACAACTCATCCTGCACATACAACACAGGAATGGAAAATATAGACGTGAATAGGTAACTTATCAGTCAAATTGTTTGTGTTTGCTATTATTTAATATTTACCTACAGCAAATGTGGCTATATGATGAAGGACTAAGGGAAGTGATCCTATCAAACTCAACCCAACCCAACATATACAGTAAACTATCAAACTCAACCCAACATAGAAACTTAAAAAAAAAACAAAAAAACACTTCAATATTGATTAGCCAGCCTAACTAATAAAATACCTGCAGATTAAACTAAACAAATATAAATTACAGTAATAGTATCTAAACATTTTCAGCATCCAAGAGCAAAGTAAACATTTCTTCTTCATATTATATAGTCTGCGAATGTAACCTGGCTGGGCATTTTTAAAAGGGTTATCAGTCAGAATTAATTATATACCATTAAATGTTTTATTAACATTTTTTTTTCATTTTAATTTATCCATTTAACACTTATTTCAGTTTTATTTAAATTAACTTACTGAAACCAATTTGTAATCGTTGTAATAGTGCTAACGGCTTTGCTAATTTGAAAGTGAACTATAGTGAGTGTATGTTTCACATTGGCTTATTAAGGTAATTTAACAAAATCAAGTATGATTTAAAAAAAAAAAAAAAGAAAGAAAGTAAAAAGGGCAGGTCACTTTGGCCCTGCTCGTTGTCCAAGTCATGGTAAAGTACAACAATACGGAGATTTCTCTATTAAACATTATTGTGTTGCAGTAACTATGACATTTGCAGAGGTATGCAAGAACCTAAAGAGCTGCCTACCAAGACAACTTTACCGGAATAGGCGCTTATGATGCCCAAAAATGCTGTCTAGGTAGGCAGCTCACTGGGGTTTGAGATACAGCCATAGACAGTATATTGCAGAATATAATTAAGGTAACTGAATGCGTTTGAAATCTTACCCAAAATATCCGTTGCAAAGTCCTTTTACAGCCATAATATATGTGTTTAATCGGGAACGCATTAAGATAAAATACTATAGGAAAAACGCTCTGTAGAGAAATATAGGTGAAATCGCTCTGCAGTTCTCTCGACTAACGCAAAGAAGCATGACGTCAGAACGTGTAATCACGCGAGAAAATCCGGAGCCTGTCTGAGTGAGGGGGGGTACTCCCGTGTTGCCATGTTTGGTAATTTTTATAAACTTTTTAAGAATGCTCTTCAAATAACAAACAGCATTATCATTGTTAAAAACACCACAGTAAATCCAAGAAGTATACATTGAAAAATGAAAACAAAGTAAATAAATTATATATTAATTTAACAAATATAGCCTAAATAAAAACAAAATAATTACATACAAATAATAAATTAAACTTAGGCCTAATGACTTTCATTAATATACATTATTATACATTAATTTACGAAGTTGCCAAAAAACGGAAATATGTTTTATGAACTACTACATTCTACAATGAATCTCGATTGTAGAGCCTTCCACAATGTAATTTTGTCAGACCAGGGTGTTTATTTTACTAGCGAGATTTGGCAACACAGTTGTTTTTTTCCCCTTGCTAATGTACCAGTGATCTATACTGCCATCAACTGGGCTCATACTACAATGTTAGACAAAATTTATATTTATAAAATATATTTAAAAAATAAAAACAGACAATGGCGTGGATACATATATAGTAATAGTGTATATTATATTATATTATATTATATTATATGAGTAATAATAAATAATATAGAAAACACTAAAATATCAACAAATCTCATCTCATCAGTAACAAGATATTATGATCATTAGTTACATTCAAAATCAATCAATCAATCAATCAATCAATCAATCAATCAATCAATCAATCAATCAATCAATCAATCAATCAATCAATCTATCTATCTATCTATCTATCTATCTATCTATCTATCTATCTATCTATCTATCTATCTATCTATCTATCTATCTATCTATCTATCTATCTATCTATATATCTATCTATCTATCTATCTATCTATCTATCTATCTATCTATCTATCTATCTATCTATCTATCTATCTATCTATAATCTTATATAAATACATATTATATACACTGTTTTGGGAAGTCATGAAATGGGATGATTTAGTGACTCGCTCATCACACTATTTCAGTAAAAATATATTCTGCAGACCCTTTGAGTGAAAAGGAGTGGCAAAGTGTTTCAGTGATGATAAAAATCAGCAGGTGTAAACACTACTTGCTCTATCAAACTCCTTTTACGTAATATCTGATTTTGAAATTGTTGTATTAATTGGTGAATAAGGTTATTTAAAAAATATTTAAAATTGGACCATTAATACAATTTTTTTTGTATTTAAAAAAGTCTTTATTGTAATTTGTGATTAATGTAATGCATCCTTGCATTCAATTAATTTTGATATTGTACTTGATATATTGCTTACTTTGTTTTTGTTGCATGACAATCAAATTGTAGAAAACATGTGAAAAAGAGATGAGCTGTAGTGGCTGATATTGTCAACGAGCTGTAGTAGCTGGTATTGTCAGCTTTATATTTTGCTGATATTTTTGGGTCAAATTAAAAATTAATGGATAATTTTATCATTTTTGTTTTTATTCTAATCCTGTTTTTTTATTCTAATCCTCTTTCAGAAGAAGAAGAATGCACTCCCTGAAACCTTACCTTTTTTTCTACACCAGAAGAGTGCGCTGTTTACCAAACGTCGAGTAGCCTAGAAGGTCCGGAGATCCATAGCTGTTTACTGACCAAACAACCTCTAGACTAATCCAGAGAGGTCAGTGGATCAGAGGTGAATCCCTCCCCAGTCATGGCTCTCCAGCAGAGCTGCTGGTTTGAACTAGCTCGTTAATCAGGTTACCTCCAAATCCTATTTGAGGCGACTGTTGGGTGTAACAAGTGGATTGTGTCCGACACATACGTTACTGTGTGCTTAAGGGGAGTAAGAGTGGGCAGTTTTAGCAACAACCAAAATATTATAAACAGGGCTGCCCAACTCTCACGCATTCAGCGTGAGACTCACGCAATGGGCTCCGCATTTGACGTAACGTTAAGGATGCTCGTCCATTTCCGGTTGTGGAGATTAAAGCGGAGGAAAACCGGAGAAAACGGGATTATGGCAGAGTCTTCAATATTTACTGTCCTCCCGTCTTTGAAACGAAACGTACATACGTTTAGATGTAATTTTATATATAGTTATGTTTATTTAATATAATTTTAAAAAGAAGCATAAACACAACGAGGGGTGTCTGTTTTATCTGTTTTTGTGACTAACGTTTCATTAGTATAACCATGGAGTATAAAATTCAATATAAATTCTCGGTATTGCATTGGACTCTTTGATCGGCGGAAGTTATGAGCATCCTTAATCCTTCACCGGAAATAACGCCGTGCATAGAGCCCGTTGAGGAAATTCTCATGCTCTCACGCCACAATCCTAATTTCTCACGCTGCTATGTCAAGCCTGAAAGATGAGTTTATCTATTAGGTCTATCTGTCGAGGCACTCGAGATCGACTAGTTCTAGGCCTACCGCAAATTAGGTAAAATATCCGCGGTTGGAGAAGTCTCACGCCAAGCTAAACTGATAAGTTGGCAGCTCTGATATTATAAATGTAAGCCATTTGTGGACTAGCGAAACCATTTATTTGCCCTTTTAACCTGAAACCAAACTATCATCATGATTAATATCGACAATAGTCCTACAAGTATCGGTTTCTTTAATTATTTAAAGGGGCACTCATGCTTTTGTTCATGTTCCATTGACTGTTATTGCAGTCGCCTACTTGAATTGACAAGCTGAATTTATTCACTAAGTGGAGATAAGATGAAAAACGGGAATTATGTGATAATGTGAGACATTTTCTGCTGGTCATGTGACCTTGGCTGCATATGGCAGCTCCCATGAGGTGACCCTTCCATGTCAATAAATAAATAAAATTAAAAAATAATTTGGGGTTATTAGCCTGCTGATATCTGGAGCCTTCATTTCATGGGAGTGTACATGATTTTGTAAACCATTGTTTATTTTTTTATGTGTAAAAATCCCTGAGTGTTTCTTCAAATTATCCTTTTATGTTTTGCATTTATATATAAGAAATGTCAAATCTATTTTAGAAAACAATGAATTCATTTTAAAATAAAGACAACATACTGAATTTAAGAAGTGAGTTTTATTAATCACAAACATACTGTTCAAGAATTCACAGAGGATTTGTACCGGTCCCAAACCAATGGCCAATGGGACATTACATGAATTCAGTGAATGAAATATGTTTCATTTAAAATTCCAGCTGTCTCCAAAACAACCACAAACTCTATGGAAACTTAAAAAAAAAGCTCAGCCTCCAAAAAAATCTTTCTCAAGAGTTACAATCAAAATTAAAAAAAAAAAAAGATCTGAGAGCAGAATAATACTGGAATTGTAGAAAATGCTCTTTTGGCAGTCAGTATTTGGTACAGCTCGCCCTGCTTTTTTCCCCAAACCCACAAAATACCTTATTTTCTGTTCCCCTCACAGTAGCCTACTCCATATATAGGGAATATAGGACTGAATTGGGCTGTGACTCAAAATGTACCTCGCTTTCTAACTTTCTATATCAAACCAATTATAAATCATTTGTGTCTAGTGAAACTATAAAACTGATTCCATCCGCTGAAATAACACTAGTGCTCTGTCCTCCTGAAACATTATTTCAATCTACATTTAGGCACTAATACATAATAGAATAGCTAAAAAGAAAGAAGAAAAGAATTCCCCAAAATCAATTCACAACAACAGGTCTATTTACAAAAAATAAAAAAGATCAGATATGTGAGATATTACCAGATATCAAATATACCAAAAGAGTGGGTGAGCGCAGAACATTATCATTCCTCTCAAACACCTGATCTTTTCGAAATATTGACCTGATTTAAGAGTGATGTGAGAAGTGAATTAGAAAAAATTGTTCTGCATATTCCAATTAACTGCTACAGCATGTAGTGATTGAAAACTGCATTATTGTCACTGTCTACACATGAAGGCACTTAAGAGGAATGATTTATGATTCTTTTCAGAGGTTGAATATTTCTGAGCATGTGGCAGGTTTTCTCTATTGACAAAAGCATTCAGTTTCAGCTGATTGTACTCTTCAAAATCAAAATTATGTGTGAATAGTCCAAATATATCCATAATCATTGCTATGGAAGAAAAGTTAAGTTTACATGGTTCCAGGCTTTTTGTTTTAATAATGTATTTAATAAGGCAGATCCCCTCTCTACCATGACCAATTTTTTCATGGAAAGAGTGTCATATTTGCCTCATTCAACGTTTAGTTAAACCAAAAACTTCTTATGCACAGTGTAGCTCACAGTGGATCTATATACAACCAGTTAGTCAACACACAAACCCTGTTATGTTAAAAAGTAACATTGAGAGCATTACTCACTCACATAAGAAGAAGAAAAAAGAAAAGAAAAAAAAATCACAGAGAGAGAAGAAGAAGAAACAATAATAAAAAAATAATAAAACCTAGACCGTATTTTCACTATATACAAAATAAACAGCTAGCATAGAAGGACACTTAAAATCAAGAATACGCAGCACTGGTCTTTCAAAATATTCTCCAGCTTTTTTGCTGGTGTTTTTCCAAAGATACTCACTGTCTAAGACTATCTACAAACATGAACATGGAACGTCCTTTCACTATTAACATGAAACCCCAGCAGAATACTATAAGCACATAAGACCTTTGATTGAAGCCGCTGTCGTTGGATATGCCGTTGAAAGGATTTGAAACATCCACAACGTCAAGTGGTCTGGTACATTATTTGCATGTCCAATTGCTAAAACCAAAGATGTGAAGTGGGTGGGTATGGTTTCTCTCACCCTCAAATTAGTCAAAAAAAAAAAAAGAAACTTGCTTCTATTTTAGTATTTTACAAAATATTTAAAAAAGTAAAACAATTTTTACTATAGGCATTTTAAAATATATTCCATCAAAAATAGTCTGACAAATTTAGCAAGTACAAAACAAATGTATTTTTTTTTTAGGTTTTTTTTGTTTTTCAAAATTACAGTTAAAACGTTTTCTTGCTGTATATTGGGTTCTGGCAAAATTTTAGTCAGCTGTAAAAAGGGGTTGTAAAAGTTGAATTAAAGAAACAATAAATATCTAGTGTCTTTAAACAGTGATCAGACATGATTATTTGTCACCTTTGGCAAATACAAATTGTGTCGTTGCAGACGTGCCAAAAAGCAAGGCACGTGCCATGGCAGCTCCGACATCGGTGTCCACATTTGGGGGATTTGTGTCTGCGAGGTATAATAGTGCCAATAACTTTAAATGTAATTCTTCCATCATCCGTCCATCTTCCTCCACTCAGATGACAAATGAGGATTTGTGTCGGAAATCCCCCTGAAAGACAGGAGATTGAGTTAAGGAGGTTTAACTGATTCTTTGAATTTTCTCAGAATTTCTTAAGCTCTTGGAAGCCTTAAAGGGATACTCCACTTTAAGACTCCCAGAGTTAAACAGTTGAGTTTTACCGTTTTCGAATCCATTCAGCCGATTTTCTGATATTTAGAAGAATATCAGTAACCAGACAGTTTCTGGTCTCATTGACTTCCATAGTAGGAAAAAAATATACTATGGAAGTCAATGAGACCAGAAACTGTCTGGTTACTGATATTCTTCTAAATATCAGAAAATCGGCTGAATGGATCAGAAAACGGTAAAACTCAACTGGTTAACTCTGGGGGAGTGGTAAATGAGCCCATTTCCAAAAAAAGTGGAGTATCCCTTTAATAAGTAAATAAAAATCTCTTGATTTCCACCTACCTCATCTTCTGTTCTGACATAGTCCACTCCATCTCCTTTTGCTGGAGTTTTGTAACTAAGAAAACAAAACATTAAGCAGTCAGTCACCACTATATCACATTAGTATTTATTAAAGGGGTCATCAACTGGCTTTTTAAATTGTTTTATATTGTTGTCTGAGATCAATTTATGACATTCGCTTGGTTTTTACATTAAAAAACATCCAAATGAATAAGTAATAAGCTATTTTCTACCCTAGTTTTGAGCTTGGCTCAAAAACGCTCGGTTTTTATGGGCGTCTCGCATTGAAGACTTGGAAGTATACGCCCACTGCTGTGAGTGGATAACAGTTTTGCATATTATAATGAGTTTCACTCTCAAGCCGGTTTGTCATCACGAGGTAGGCATCTATGTTATTTAGCTATGCGTGTAATGCGAGAATCGGTGGGCAGGGCTAAACCGGCCGTGTTGAAGTAGGCGTCGATCTTCTTCTGCGGGGGTGGTGTTTTATCCTCTTTGACGTCATAGTTCCCCGAGTCGTTTGCTGAGCCTCGTGTCAATAAAAGCTTTTATTGGACTAACAAGGACGTTTTCAGTTCTGAAACTTGCAGGATATTCTTATAATATTATGATCACCTCTTAGATGTCAAAAGCGCAAGGAAAATTTTATTTCTCAGTTCATCACCCCTTTAAAACGACATGTATTTCCTATTTCTGAACAAGCTAAATGTGATGTTAAGGATAAGCTGGGAACATTCAGGAGTTTCTTTGGTGACGAAATGGGTAAAAGCTCTGAAACGGTGAGTCAAAACTGCTCTGGGACCGAGTGTGACTCAGACGGAAGTCACTGTCAAAGTCATGCGCTTACTTGTTTCCCGTCTGCTTCTGGCTGGTGAAGTAGCCTCGTTTATAGGCACAGAAGATGCCCACTGTTATACACAGAAGGACGGTCACCACAACCACTACACCCAGGATAATTCCAGCAATGTTGATATCATCTAGAAAAAAAGGCAAAGTGTGAGATCATGGATTTGAGGGTTGTCCTGTCCCATGTGAAAAGGTAATATAAATACGTACAAACTTCCATCAACTGCGGTCCACATTCAGAGAACCCAGCCTCATTCTTGGCTCTACAGTAGTACTCTGCCGCATCTTCCTTCCTGACCGCACTGAATTTCTGAAGAGCATAAATTAGTCATTTAAGTTGACAAATCATTTCCCATAATGACCTACAATGGTGTTCAAAAGGTTAAGGTCAGTAAGATATATATATATATATATATATATATATATATATATTTAAAGAAATGTCTTCTTTTATTAAACAAAGAATCCTGGGGAAAAAAATTAAGCAGCACAACTGTTTTCAACAAATTTCCTGAGCACCAAATCATGATTTCTGAGGGATCACGTTACACCGAAGCCTAGAGTAATGATGCTGAAAATCCAGCTTTGCCATCACAGGAATTACATTGAAATTATATTCAAATTGGAAATAGTTCCAGGTTTTTAAATTGTAATAACATTTCACAATATTACTGTTTTACAGTATTTTTAATCAAATAAATGCAGGCTTGGTGAGCATAAGAGACTTCAGTACATTAGTTAGCATGAACTAATAATGAACGGCACTTATACAGCATTTATTAATCTTTGTTAATGTTAATTTCAACATTTACATGATTAAAATCTTGTTGAAATAAGTGAATGCACTGAACTAACATGAAAAGCTGTATTTTTTATTAACTAACGTTAAAAAAGATGAACAAAATTACAGTAACAAATGTATTGTTCATGGTTAGATCATGTCAGTTAATACATTAACTATTGATAACAAATGATAACTTAGTGTAAAGTGTAGTGTAAAAAGACATTTTTAAAACATAAATAAATCTGACCAACCCTAAACTTTTGAGCTGTATATAGGGTGTTTCTAAGCAGCAGTGTTGTCAACAAAATACTGAAGGATTAATAAAGTTTCTTTTTAATTGTGCATTATAGCAATAATTACACGTTTTATTTAAAATGCACTGTTGAAAAAAAACTGCATCGCAGGATATTAACAATGAACTTACAATGTTATTTAAGGAAGAAAATATCCTAAATGGTGTAAATATTTGGTTTCAATCAACTCTTGCATCAATTTAAATGTATTTTTTTTTCACCTAAAATTAGGTACCAAAAATTGATTAAACTGAATAAATATGACATGATGAAATGCAAACAAAAAATGTAGGATCCTTTAATAAAAAAAAAAAAAAAAAAACTAGATTAAAACAAAAAAAAAATCTGTGTGTAACCTGGAAGCTAGAGCCAGACCGATATATCGGCAGGCCGATATTAGGCATTTTCTAAAATATCGGTATCAGCAGTTATAATGGCCGATAAATGAATATTTCAAAAATAAAATAAAAACGGACGAATCACGCTTCAACCATGTCATGAGTGTTGTCAAAAAGTGCTGGTAAAGGGATAAGCAAGCTGACATTGTAATTATAAGGTAGCTTATAACTATAAGGCAATGTAGGGACTACTTATTATTTTATTTATTAGAACTTTAATATATTTTGATCTTCCTCTGTTCTGTTGTGACAATAAAAGAAACAAGTTTCTTTTTAAAATGCATTATCATATTATTTTAGTTAAAACTCATAAATAACTACAAATAACTAATGTTAGGGAAATCTGTTAATATTTTGTTGCGCGTTTCTGAAATAAAAATAATAATAATATCGGCCGATATATCGGAATATCGGATTTTAAAACCAACAAATATTTGTATCGGTATCGGCCTTCAAAATCCTTTATCGGTCTGGCTCTACTGGAAGCATCTTTCTAATTGTGGCGCGATGTTATAAAAAGTAAGACAGAGGTGTCAAACGAGGTTCTGGCAGATCTTTAAGGACCCAGTCGGGCCTTCAGACTTTGCCTCCTTAGGGGGAAGAGGCTGTGCTCCAGCGCCGGTCAAACTTTAAAAAAGTGGTGTGAAGGTTGTCGAGGGCACCAAGTACAAATGGTGGAGAATGGCACTCTGGAATGTGCAAATGAGGGCAGCAGATTCCCCTCATGGCTGAGCCCATCACACATCAACTGGCTCCCCAAAAATATCCCTACCTACGCCTACCCCATCGCCTCTTTTTCCGAACTCACCAGAGTGCCCATCTCTCCATTCAGGGTGTAAGTGGAGTTGAAGAACTTTGGGCTGCTCTTGGGGTCTTCTGGGATTTCCTCTTTGTTACGGAACCACTGGTACTGGGACTTCGGGTATCCCTCGCCCTCCACACAATGCAGTTCTGCTGGTTTGCCCACCGGGACGGACTTGGGTACGGAACATCTGGGCACGACGGGCTTCACTGCATGGCACACAAGAGAATCATCTTAACGTAATTGCGCAGACAATAGCATCCTCACACACATGCACCATAGAGACTCTGGCTGCAAGCATCCTGGGTAACTGAACATGCTGCTCTTTCCCCTTTTAGATCCCTGATTAAACGCAGATGCAGTTTCAGAGGTTTCCTCATATAGCCCCGGACACGCCCTGTAGGGTTTGAGCAAGCATCCTCAAATGTGCGCCAAGGGTGGGACGCTCCATCTCATGTTACATCGTAGCAGTTGGGAAGTACTAACAATATACAACAGATTCAAAATTCCTCTAAAAAAACATTGCAGCACAGGGCACAGTACTGTGGGGTTGTCAATAATCAATAGATCGAGTGGGACCGCTCACCTCTTACAACGAGTGATATCAAAACCTCATCGAAGGATTTTTCGTCACTGGGGGCGGTGACTTCACAGCGGTATTTAGCAGTGTCGGATCTTGTTGCGTTGAGAATGACTAAGGTTGCAGGTTCTCGAATTTTCGCTCTCTTTTCCAGGTCACCTGGAGAAAATGAAAACGAGAGAAGGAACACAGTTGGTTGAAATAGGTGGACTGAAAGCTGTTCCCTTACATGCAATGTGATGTAACTTATACTCCAAGCCCAAATGCTAACTAAACACTGATGTAATGTGAGGAAATGCGTTTCAGTTCATTGACATTGGTTGATGTATTAAGTTTCATGAGTTTTTAACATTTACAGTAACATTTGTTACAATAGCTAACTTGAACTTAAATGAACAATTCCTTTACAGCATTTGTTAATCTAGCTTTATGTTAATTTATAATAATAATAATAAAATATAAATAATGTATAATAGAACCACTTCATATTCTAAACCAGTTAATGTTTAGAATATTTTACCATGTTAATTTATATGATTAAATTAAGTAGAAATTAATCTATACTAATAAATGCTGTATTGTTCATGGTTTGTTCAAGTAAGCTGTTATTGTTAACTGTTTTATAAAATGATTTTCTTTTTTACAACATTAATCTGTGTGAATGTTTATGTATAAATATAATTGTTTATTGTTCATTCATATTTATTTCTAGTACTTCATATTTCATTGAAATACAATGTTACATATAATGACACACTTATGTTTAAAAATTTGGGGAGCATTATTTTTATTTATTTGATTTTTTTTAAGAAATTAATGCATTTATTCTGCAAGCACACTTTAAAAATATTGTTGGTTTAACTTAAAGAAATATTTAAGTTCATTGAAATGGAAAATTTGAGTTAATACAATGAAGGAGATTGATTTAATCATCAGAAACTCAAAATATTATGTTATCTGAACTACATAAATTAAGTTGATTTGACAAAAGAAAAAATGTTGTGATTACAAATCAGAGATTAAATTGATCATTGACATTAAGGACATTTATTATAAGGACATATATGATTTCTAAATCCATAACAAAATTTATCACAGTTTCCACAAAAATATTAACTGTTTTCAACTTTGATAATAATAAATGTTTCTTGAGCAGCAAATCAGCATATTAAAATGATTTCTGAATGATCATGTGACATTAAAGAACAGAGTAATGATGCTAAAAAATGCTAAAAAAAAATCCCAATCACAGGAATAAACTAGGAGAAGATTATTTTAAATTGTAATCATATTTCACAATATTGCTCTTTATCTGTTTTAATTTGATCAAATAAATCCATAAAAAACCCAACCCCAAATATTTGAACGGTAGCATATGTAGAATTAACAGATATGTTTACTTTTATATTGCATTAGCTAACCTTACAGTAAAATATTATGCATCAATGTGTTGTATGGCACAGTGTTCAGAAGAGTGCATAGTTTACCTGCTATTTGCTTTTCAAAATATACATAACTGGGCTCTCCATTCTTAATCTTCTTCCATTCTATTCTGGGATTAGAAGTGGTGATCGACTCTATCATGCAGGACAGCTCGATTGCTATATGGGAAGACAAAACGAGAGAGCATGTGAGCAGTTCAAATGCCGAGTTTAATGTCAGAATCCACAGCTTAAAAGAGCAAATTGCTCGGCCTTACACTCAAACTCATTGACCCATGGGTTTTCATTCGTCGTCTTGAGGATGACTGCCAAGGTGCTGATGTAGCCTGCAACGAGAAGATGAAGATAAACATCAGTTTCATGTTGAATTAACAACTTGAACATCGGCCATCGACATTTCAGGGGTGTCGTTGCGACCTAAACCACAAGCGATATTGGTAACGCTCAACTCTTTTAAAGATTCATGAAACTCAATTAACAGTCGTCCCCCTCCACCCTGACAGCACACATTCTTCGCATCCCTGTGAGCTGTGAACGGATATGTTACCAGCCATTTTTAGTTTCACTCTCACAACAAACATCACTGATGTAAAATTGTCCCAACACAGATAACTGTGGAGGCTGACTGGCAGTCTCCACTCTGTGTTATGAATAACAGCTGACTGCTTTAAAGTGAAGGCCAAAGGGGCTCACTAAGTTCACATAGTCACTAATAAACATGTTAAATCAAAAAGGTCGACTTTGAAGTCCGTACTATTTTTAGAAGTGCGTGTCTCTTCGTTTTTGTCCCACATCAAGAAAATGTGGTGTTTAAATGGCTTTCTTCCACAGAGGAAGAAAAACATTTGCTCTAGTTGCATAGAACACAACCTAACCAACACTTTCTCTACCACTTTAAAAGGTTACAGGTTAACTCCCTATGAAAAGCTGGTTGGTTAAAAGCATTGGGTTCACCATGGATAAGCGATTGAATATATAAAAAAAACACTGTATGGCTGTGGTAATTTTGTGGTTTATTTATTTATTTTTTCCTAATAGAGCATATATTCAGGGCACTGAAATTTTAATGGCCATCAATTGCTAGGGATAATTTTTATGAATCTTTGATGATTGTATTTTGGGCCAAGGCTCTTGAGAATTCATCCATCTAACACAGAACAAGGCTAGTAATACAACAGACGTGGCTGCAAATCTGAGAGAGAAACTGCATCAACGTGTTGCGGTTTAAATATGAGAAGGACAGTACAGCTAAAATTGTTACTGTAAGAAATATTGGTGTTGGTTAAAAAAATATCCCAACTTATTAACAGCCTCTTTTTGTTCCCGAATACCAATATTAATTTACACAACTTAACTGTTGTGAATATGCATTTTTGTTAACTCTTTGTCATGTTAGCAACCAGGGAGTCAATAGAATGATGTCATTTTTAACAAATCTAATGGTGCGTTCTATTTATCCGTCTCGGAGATCCGAATCGGAAGACAGACGTTGCCTAGCAACACGCCCCCTTTCCTCGGATTTCTCCTCTCGGAAGTCGGACAACCGTGAGGACACCGAGAAAGAATTCCGTGTGACTTGGAAGTGTGAATTGTTTTCATTGATTTTGAACCGCTTTGGTATTTTAAATGACGAATATAATCACTCGTATTACTGCGTCCCCTGTAGGTATGGGAATCGGTTGTTGTGAGTGCAATTGCTAACGTTGCTAGCATTGCTAACAGAAGATTAACAGAAGATTTTTTTTTTTTTAGGTAAGTGCCTGGTACTTAACCAGTGCTACCATTACAACAGCTTTCCGGGTGGCATCCATTTTTTTCTCCGACTCGGACACGCAAAACATATAGAACGCTTGAAGTGTGGACGTGACGTCATATCCGAGGTCCGAGTCGGTTCGTTGGCTATAATAGAACGCACCATAAAATCTCTGTAACGATTCTCGGTTCATTTAGAATCGGACTACATGAGGGAGTACGTTGTCAACTAAGTAATGGCTTTGGATGATTTACGAGTGAGCAAGTTGAATCTTTTTGACTAAATCATTCAAAAGAATCATTTGATCACAAATCGGGACCTCGCTACTCACATTGTGCAGAAAACACTCTCTAGCAGGATACAGTGTTATTGTTACCCTTACTATAAAAGTATTATTCATATTTTAAATGGTTTTATTTGTATATTTTGTTTTCATTTGAACTTTTAGTAATTGTAGAATGTACTTTTTTATGTTCTTTTTAATTGTTTCTGTTTAGATCCAATTTATTTCATATCAGATTCAGTGTTATATTTATTTATATTTTATTACATTTAATTGAGTTATTTTGTATTTTAATGAATACTTTATATTTGATTATGGAACATTTTTATTAGTTTCAGGTAACAATAACCACACTGGAGGATCTGGTGAAACAACACAAAGCTTCCCTGATTCAATTTTGGAATAATGTTCACACATTTTTTGTCATAGTCATTCTCACAGAGCCTTCCAAGCACAAAAGAGCTGAAGTAGTGCTATTTATCTGTGCATACATCAGTATGAGGTGTCAACAAACTTCATATTATAAAAATGCCTTTTACAATTTAATTTCATAGTCAGATCATTTAGGCATGATTAAATTGGTGTAAATAATACTTAATGCAGAACATTTAGGAAGAGGTGCCGATCAATGCAATGACATGGGAAAGGTTGCAGGATGTTCACCCCCACCCAAAAAAACAAAACAAAAAAAAACCCCACAAACAAACACATCCACAGGTCTACATCCTCTTTTAAGATCACATTAAGCCAGATGGACACAAAGGCCATTGTCCACTCTGTCTGTGACTAGACGTCCAGGAAACGGAGATGTCTCTCGTCTCCTTTTCCCTGCCACATCCTGTCCTCTCATGTCATCAAATAGGAGGCTGGTGCTCAGCAGCACTACCAAAAGCATAGCTTGTGTTAGTAATGTTTGCCTCCGTACACCTCACCCGATGATGTAGGGTCTGTCCTGTCGGGTGAAGTGTCTGTGGTTTGATGCCATTTGAGGGATAATTGAGCCCTCAAACAAGGCAGGTGCTCTATGACCTATATCCTGACCTCTCTCTTCCTGTTAGGAGAGCACAGCTGGATGAGATTTGACAATCCTAGCCGAGCTTTAATCTCCCACTTCTTGCTTTAGAGGCATAACTGTTGGTTCTCTTCAGTAATCTTAGTGTAATGCCTGGGTAAAATCCTGGGCATTACAGAATTGAATAATATAATAGAGAAACAAAAAGAGGGATAGAGAGAGATTTGTATTTCCATATCAACATAAAGCATTTGTGTGATGTAATACTCAATCAACAGAATTTGTGGCGTAACGTTGGTTACCACAATCATTGTTTCAATAGGAAAGCCACAAGACATACAGTAAACAATATGAACGTTAACGTTATTTGAACGCAGGTTTTAAGTTATATTCATATTAAACGTTGTCACCATGACCATGTAACTAACTCCTTAAACCCTAAAAAGACTGCAAAATAGTGATTTGAAACCTTTAAACAGAAAAAAATGAAGATGCACTGCATTTATTTGATTAAAAATACAGTAAAAACAGTTAAATCATTATTAAATATTATTAAATCACAGAAATCATTATCAATAATGCTGGAATGATTGTTCGATGAACAAAGTTTAAAAGATGCATTATTTGTTTGAAATTGATTTTTTTGTAACATTATAAATGTCTTTACTGTCACTTTTGCTCAATTTAATTAATTCTTGCTGAATAAAAGTATTACTACTTCAAGAAAAATATCCCGACCCAAAACTTTTGAATGATATAAGCAAGGCCGTAACCAGGGTTTGAAAATTAGTGAGGTCCGGGGTGTTGTGTAAAGAATTGTGCTATAATAATGGATAGACCATTGGACCCACATTCCCCCATGGACATTAAGCTGTGACCCTTTTCTTAAAGGATGTAGAAAAGGGTCACAAAGGCCATATGTATATACAGGGGTTAAATGTAGATTTAATTATGTGGGGTAGTCTCTCACTAGGGCCATTCATTGCATAAATAAACCATTAAATGGCACTCTCTGGAGAGTTTTGAGCAAAGAAATATTGAAGCAAGTCTTATATTCTGTAATTCACACAGATCAAACAAAATTATGCTGGCTGAATAGATTGCTAGTTGAGAAACGCTGTTTTTATGATGACTTTGTGAAAGGTTAACTAAACAGCATGAGCCGTCCTCCTGCTGGCCAGTAAGTTTTTTTGGCAAATTTCATTCTGTAACATAGCCTACAGATCTGTATTATGCTATTGTTTTTGATAGTGTTATACATTTCTTACAGATAATCACGATGATCATTGCGTTTGTCTAACCGAACGTTGTAGCTTTACGCAATTACAGTTTGTCTATAATCCCGACAGTAAAATGTTGCCAGATATTGCTACGAAAAACAAGCAAAACAAAACAAAAACGAAATAAGCTCAAAGCTTGTGTTTTGGAAATAAGATTAATATATCACTAACCCTAACATGCAACTTTCCAATTTAATAACTTCCTAAAGTGTCACATTAAATCAGCAAAAACAGGTCCAGGAGACAACTACCACCTTTCCATTAGGTGGATCTGGCAACACGGGATCTGGCACCTGCGCCCTCTCAAGCCCTGTTCACTGCGCTAGCTTCTCGCAGCAACATGAATAGCAAACACTCATATGAGGTAGTTTCATCATGGCTAATTAATCATTCAGAGAGCTTGACATTTTATTTTTTAATGTAAAAAAAAATGGCCGCGACCTCATAGCTGGCTACGGTCATTAGTGTAAGTACTTTTAAAATTATAAGCTTCACATTACTGCTCTTACATCAGCCCCATTTACTTCTAAGTGTCTCACCTTAAACTCGATATTTGCCGCTCAAAAGTTTTTGAAAACGAGGAACAAATCCCAACTTACGGTTTAAGATAATCAGCATCACGCTGTCTACTAACTTGTATTTAAAACTGCACGAATGGGCCACCTTGGAAATGAACTCAGAAAAGTGCACGACGGTGAGGTCGCCCTATTCGAGGAGGCCATTTTCTAATCCTGTCTTCAACACCTAACTCAGCATGACGGCTTATGGAGAAACATTACACCACAGAGAAATGAGTTATACAGCCAGAATCATGGGGCTGTTTGGACAGCCTCCACAGTGCAGCGTTTAAAACCCCACCACACCCTGCATCGTGATCTGCGACCACTGTGCAGAAGAGTCCAAACACATTCTGCTCCGACGCAGCCAGTCAGAGAGCATTCAATGCATTCGGTTCACTCAGCAATGCATGAAGTGGATAATATTCCTTGTTATTTTTA